AATTTGCTGGAAAGTCCACTTACAGGAAAATTTGCAGCTGTCTTAAATGCTTTCAGCCTGTGAAAATTAATTTTCACCCCAGATGATGAACTTTAAATAGTTTGGAAATGGCTTTGATGGGCAATAATGATGTTGATATTAACCTTTCAGTTTGACCGTTGCACATCACAAAATTTTCTGATACTTTCTGAAGATAAACAACACATTTTTGAGTCTTTTACAGATTTATTGAAGATTATCATCATTCATACAAAACAGCCCATGTATGCAAATGAGCAGTGTTAAATGTTAAACTCCTTAAATGCTGCTTTGGGGCATGATATCAAAGCTTGGTAGAAAATCATATTAAGACTTCCTAATGGCAATGTGAATTATAAAATTAGCCTTTCTTCTATTAAGACTCCTTTGTTCAAAATAAAAGCCTGTACATTGTTTTAAAGCAAAAATACAGTAGTCTGAAAATTAGTTTTTTGTGTTTCATTCTGTTTAAACTGACATATACAATTATTTTAAATACCCTAAGATAGCTGGAAAGGTAAGAAACAGTTTGAGCTTTGATAAACAGAAACCTAAGAATTTACTGATGCAAATCATCAATGTCTTCAAAAGCTAAATTAAAACCCTAAAGTCAATCCCTTAATCAAAGCCATTAATCCAAAAGTCTATCAGTATAATTATATCATTTTAATTACACTCTATATCTATTTGAAATGAACTCGCTGCCAAAAGTTGGAGCATATTAAAAATGAACTGGTAATAGGTCAGAATCAAACTTCTTTAACCTAGAAAGTCTATTTCAAATTCTGCAGAGATGAAATGTCTAAGAATAGAGTTAAAGGTCATTGTAACAATTATATAAAGAGAAGATTTCACCTTTTCTACACCTTGTATACCTCTGATTCTGAGGGTACATGTTCTAAGTTTAAAACATTGATGGTGCTCATAATGTGAATTTAAGCAGATTTTGAGCTATGTTCATGTAAATTTGGGACTATTAGGGTTAAAGTGGATTATGGGTATGTGAGATGCACTAATCATATAGGTCTAATAAAGAATAAATTAGACAAAAATATTTGCTCAACAGCAAATCCATTCTTTAATAAAGATCTATTTATTGACTGTAAAAGACCAGATTCTCATAATATTATGCTCTTTTTAGTTGAAATGATTTAGTTCTGTAAAATGCCAGAGTGTAATTCTTTGTGAATGGAGTGCTGAACACAGACCTGATCTAAATTCAGGAGTTGCCACTGCAGCATTTCATCCCATTTTCTCTCGTCTTGATTTTTGATGGCTTCTTTTGCTTCCTTAGGGGATTGATTTTCTTATTTCGTCTGTCCATTTTGTTGTCATTTTGGATGTGGCATTGCTTTTCTCTCTCTCTCTCTCTCACCTCAGCAGTGCCACCTGTAATGATTATATGTCCTGATTATTGCAATTTATGTGCTCTTCTGTGGTTTGCTGTCTTGAGTTGCTTCTGTTAAGCTCCGCTTTCCGCCTAAACAATTTTTCTTTCTCTGCCGCCAATCACTCCGCAAAACGCTGCAGTTTGTTTTTCGTCTCAGTCAGTCTCCTGCTGTCCCTTTGTTTTCTGGCAGAATGGGCAGATTGCTGGCTGGACGGGCCACGTGGGTGTTTGACACAGCACACAATGCTCAGGGCCATGAACAATGGCTGCGTAAACCAGCATAATTCGATATATTATTTGCCTTCTTGCATGAGTACACAGATACGCATGCTCCGGTTCGAGTACACTTGGCTTCCCGCTGCAATTTTTTCCGCTGCAATTTTTTCCATCAGTGTCCGGCCACATAATTGAATAGACAGCTGTTAAATTGTACAAACAGACAAACAAGCAACTGTGTTTATACCTTACTCCACCGACAGGGCCAGCAGAGATACACACAGGCAGATGAAGAGCTTACAGATGTCTAATACTTGTATGATATTATCATATTTGTGCAGGGCAGATTAACAGTGGATCAGGCACTGAAAATGATTGTCAAGGGGTTGTTTTTCAATCCAGATTATATAGCTGATTTATTTTATTCCACCCGATGAAGACCACACAATTCTTCCTCAGTCTCACTCCTCATCCCTCTCCCTCTGTTATTTAGCCTGGTTTGCATGTGTGTTGTACAATTGGCTCTTGGGAAACAGAGACATCCTAATCACCTCTGATGGGAGTCTTGTTTATACCTGCAGCTGTGATTACAGCATCAGCTAAACAGCTCAGCTCATTAGGTGTTGCTGTAGAAAATGCAGAAACATGAAGCTAAGATTTTCTCAAAATTTCTCTGTTCTCTTCTGAGAACAGATTACTTTATGTAGAAAACCAGGACTGTATGATGGGATTTTATCTTTAAACATTAAGACATTTTTTTACGAACCAAAATTGGTTGGAAAAAGCCCAGGATGATGAGAGATAAACATCTGGATTCTCTTTGTAGATGTTTATAAGCTTTAAAGGTAACGCTTTATTTGATGGGTTGTGAATAAGACTGTCATGACACCGTCACAAACATGACATTACACCTGTCATGAACATGTGTAAGTAAACTTTAGCTTTAATAACATAAAGCTACATAATTGTTCAAGTTTAATTAGTAATACTTTTATAACAAATTTATGTCAGATCATGACTTCTTGATCGATGACAAGTATTCATAGCAAAGATATTTTTTATAATGTCAATTTTGTATTAAAAGTTTCATGCTTACTGAATGACACTTTATGACAACAGTCATAAATATTCATGAAGACTTACTCATGTTCATGACAGTCGTTATGTCATGTTTATAACAGTCTTATTCACAACCTGTCAAATAAACTGTTACCGCTTTAAATATTCACACTGCTTCGACTTCTTCTACTTTTACAAAATCAAGGGGCAAAGGTGCCATAGAGCACGTTTCTGAGTCATTAAATAAGTTTCTATATAGAAGTTTACATTCTTGTTTTGTATATTATTTAATTTATATGACTCTACCATGAGTTCCACATAGGTGAGTTCATATACATTTTAACTAATAAGATATAAGTATTTGACAAGCCATGGTGACAATTTTTCATTTAAATTAAAATTTCAATTAGTAACATCTGTGTTCAAACATTTTGTCGGGTATTTTTATTAGTGGTATTATGTATTATTTCACAAATTTATGATTTTTAAAAAAATGCAGCATGTTTGACCCTCAATACTACAAGTCTAGAGTCAGAAAAATGCAAAGTGGTGACTTATTCATGAAATAGATTTATCCTGCAGTAAGTGATTTAAGTGTTTTGGCATATAAACCCACTGCAACAGGAAACCATGAAAAGCTTAACAGGATGAAAAGTTTCTGTTGAAAAAATAGCTGCTTTATTTATGCTTTCCACTTCCACACTGTGGTCACACTTCATACAGGAGAATTGTTGATCCACTGGTGTTTTTTTCTTCGTCACACTGTCTAAGCAGAGTCAGTGTAGAGCCGTATTACTGTGTGCTTTCAAATAAAAGCATTATAACTTGGAGTGGTGCCTGTCCCTCACACAAAGTGGATTGTTATTTTTTTTCTTCTTTTTTTTTTTTTACTCTGCAGCCGAGTGCTTTGACCTTTTTCTCTTCCTCTGTGCCTTACTAAAAGGTTGACAATGCACACGGATGGTGCTGCAGCCCGGTGAAGGATTGAGGACAAAGATAATGACATACCTTCAGAAATGTCCTGTTAACAACCAACATTTTTGGAAATCTTTCTTTACTTTTATTTTTTTTTCAGTAAAAATTGGTACTTTTACATGATTTTATCCAACAGGCTGCTAGATGTGCTTTGGATGGTGGTGATATATTAAGCTTACTATTTACTGGCTGAAAATGCTGGAAGTTGTTTTTATAGATTTGTTTTCTTGAGGGAGACAACAAAACAACCTTAATATTACCAGCAATGATCTTGATAAAGTGCATCTCTGTCCCATTTCTTAACATTGACTGATTACAGGACTTATTGGTTGTGTTTTCTCTGGACTAATGTTCAGATTGTTTGGTTGACTATTACTCTCCGATGTCATATTGAAATAACATATTTTAGTTGTACAGAGTGGCTTGAAAAAGTATTTTATACAGATTCAGGTTTTTGACATTTTGACACAACTACCAGCATAAATGTATTTTATTGGAATTATATGTAGAATAATTTTTTAGGACTCTTATTTTTGACTTTCTACTGCTTTGTGTAGGTCTGTCACATCCATTTCCAAACATAACTCTACAGTGGTGATGGCTGTAATGTTGTGAAGATCAAGGGGTTTGAATGCATTTTCTAGCTGTATCAATGAAATGAGAAATAAACTGGTGCTCTCATCATTTTTTTAGTTCCTCTCTAACAAATATACTGAGTTTCTGGTTGTCTAAATAATTCAAAAAGCAACTCTTTTTTTTCATTTTCTCTTTTTCCTCATGCTGTCTTTCTTGCATGCAGAGTCTGGTTTCAGGTCATCTGCTTTCATCTGCCCTCTCTGCATTTACGCTCCTCTGCTCTCCTCCTTTAACCCATTTCTTCTCTCCTATGCATCGGTTCACTCTTGAAGCTCTTCAGCGCTGCCTCTAATGGCTTTACCTCAGAGTGATTCTCTGTCAATCTGACTGTCTTGAGGTGAAACAGTCTTTACTTAAAGTTTCACCCAGCCGCACTCCAATCAAAACACACGCTGCATAAAATATAGGTGGACATTCATGTTATACCTTGTAGAATGAGACACTTTACTCAGACCTTGCAACATACATTTAAACGGCCTCTATAAAGCAAGCTCACCCTGAGTAAAAATGGTGGTTTCTCTTCTGACACATTGATGTACGACACACTATAGTTTGGCAGTAAAATTTATGTGAAAAACATATGGTATTTCTCATAAATGTCTGTTTACAAACATCCTAGGATTTCTTTTTATTTATTGAAACTCACTGGAGACCCTCATCAAACTGTCTCTGTCATAGCTAACAATGCTTATTTTGCTTTCCACAGGGCAAGTCCTACGTGTATGACCAGGTCTTCCCCACTAACATCACGCAGGAACAAGTCTACAACGCCTGTGCCAAACAGATTGTCAGAGGTGAGTCACCTAAATGTTGTGCATTTACTCTTTAAGGTTAAAAAAGGATACAAGCACCAAAAGAACAAGACAGCAGACCTTAAATTAGCATCTCCCGCACAATTTTGATCTCTTGCGTTGGCTTTGCCAGTCTGCACCTCTATTGCTGATGCAGGCAGCAGCAGCATCTCGTTGCAAGCAGCAGGGAACCTACTTTCATTTTTTAGTCACACAGCCTGGATGCATGGGTTTATAAAGGTAAACAGATTAAAATTATGCATGCTATACCTTCATACTGAAGACACGTCTGGTTCTATTTAAGAGAATCCTAATATAGTTTCCTATAACATTTTCCTAAACAACGTTGTTTAACCTTGAACAGGCCTTGGGCTTAATTGTTTTCAGGTGGGATGACATTTTTTTTAATGAAAGTGGGTGTGCCCTAACAAGTGATTAACACACTCTGTCAAGATCTTTGTCAACTAATTATCAGACAACGTGAGGGGTCATGGAGAGTAAATTTGAAGAGATTAGAAATTGTTAAAAGGCAGCATTTTCTTTATAAAATGGAAGCCAGAGACATGTCCAAAAAGATGATTAAGCAAACACTGAACTAAATTCACAGATGTTAACATGAAAAGTGGGCCAAGTAGTTCAAAGGCGAAAGGTAGAAATAAAAAATGGGATTTTAACATATCTGTACATCTGCATATTTGTATTGGATCATTAAGCGCTTCAGGTATGTTTCAACCAAGCTTCATTCTTTCTACAATAACTTGTGATAGATTTTTCTGGAGTAGATTTCTATGGCAAGGTTATATAGCCCTGGTTCCTGCAGAAGGTACATTTTGGTGCCATTAAAATTGAAGCAAGGCATTACTGGAGGATGAAATCATTAAGGCCCCATTCAGAATACATTACAATGTAAAAAATAATGATAAACATTATGGGCTTTGCAGAGTGTAGACATAGTCTTCTGCTCCATATGAAGAATACAATTAATTTCCTATTAATAATTCATAAGACCTACTGACTGTCTTCAGAATGGATAAAATATCCTTTCAGAGGTTGTGGTGGGTCAGAGCTGAGATGACAGGATATTGGAGTCCTGGGTGAGGCATGGAGGAAGTGGTTATCTATGACATGTGGCCCAAGTGCAAATGAACTTGTCTAATGCCAAGGAGACAACCTCATCATGCTCATGCTGGGGTGGAAGCAACCTAAGTGCAGCTTAAACTAACAATTCATTCTATCTATCTATCTATCTATCTATCTATCTATCTATCTATCTATCTATCTATCTATCTATCTATCTATCTATCTATCTATCTATCTATATATCTATCTATCTATCTATCTATCTATCTATCTATCTATCTATCTATATCTATCTATCTATCTATCTATCTATCTATCTATCTATCTGTATCTGTCTGTCTGTCTGTCTGTCTGTCTTTCTGTCTGTCTGTCTGTCTGTCTGTCTGTCTGTCTGTCTGTCTGTCTGTCTGTCTGTCTGTCTGTCTGTCTGTCTGTCTGTCTGTCTGTCTGTCTGTCTGTCTGTCTGTCTGTCTGTCTGTTGATGCAAACACACAGACTGGATTGTGATTTAAGGATTCCTTCTGCTTGTCTAGAAAGTCATTGTTATAATATGACCATTCTCATTAGTGAATGAGAATGGTCATATTTATAGGGAATGTGCAGCTGTGATGCCTATGGTGGTAGCATAGGATGATGGAAGAAATGGGCCACATTCAAATGTCCCATATTTGTTGTACAGGCTGTACGGCTTTCTTACTGTGCTGTGAAGAAGCATGGGCAATCTGTTCATGCTTCATGTTTTAATTCTGTGGAAAACTTTATATCATACTCAAAGACTTGCAGAGTAAAGACATTGTCTTCAGGAAGGTTGAGGTTTCTCCTCTGGATAAAAACATTTAGAACCTAAATATATTTAATTTTGTGTGACTTAAAAGTGAGAATAAACAATAACATTTTCATGTAGACAATACCTGTGTGTTATAATGTAATGGCCCTGGATGCAATTGTTATTTGAGAAGAAACAGAACCTTTGTATGATTTACCATACACGGTTAAGATTTAGTAACATTTTGTGTTCAGTGTAGGCATTATTTTTTCAACAATAAAATTAATCCCTAAAAATACAACTTGCATAATCATTTTTCACATTGTGTATATGCCAGAGGCTTTATGTTATATGAAACGAAGTTCCCCCAAGCTCAACTCGTTTTTTTTTTTCACTTCACATCATTCTCCATATGCTTTTTTTCTTAGTTAGCATTTAATTTATTCTTTCCCTTCAAAGAACGAAACTACAGTGAACTGGATGGAGCATGAGAAAAGATTGATTTGTTGCAGAAGATTACTCACAGAGTGAGGGATTACCATGTAGGCTGATGAGAGATCAAATAAAAAAGGGCAATGTGGGCTGCAGTGCATGGCTGGGAAAATTCAAGGTAAGCATTTACCAAGATGATGGGTTCAAATTTGACAGAGGTAAAATGTAAAGTGGAGAGCAACAAAGCTTAGAAAGCAGTGGTTCACAGAGAATTTTTTATCTAGCATATTAATACATTAATTTTTTATTGGAGACTAAAGTACATAGAATAGCCTATTCACCATTGTATTGGCAAGAAAAAATAAAACAAATAATTTTCTTTAAGAAAAATATCCTAAAATGCAAAAAGTGCAAATAAGAAAATCTATGTAGAGACCCCTAACATATACTCAAAAAATGCCATGAACAGGCAGTAGGTAAGCCCTAAAAAGAGGTTGACTGTTCACAAAATGTAATCTTCATGCATATAAATGGAACGTTATTTGGAAGGAAAAATGTTGCAGAAAAAGATGCACAAGCACCAGGAATAACTCCAGTCATGAAATGATAGTGAAGCTATTTTATTGAAATGGATCTGTATGTGAGCGTCGTCTCTCCTTCCTGTGCTTTCTCTTCTCCTCTCTGTTATCTCTTGTTTTAGCGCTTAAATCTCCTGCTGTCTTTATATCCTGTTGGAACTGCTGAGCTCCTTATACTTTTTTTTGCTATGGTGTCACTCTGACCAGTGCGAAAGTGAAGGAAGACATGCAGCTGTGTCTTGAAAATACTGCAGAGACAGGAGAGGAGGAGGAGAACAGGGTTCTGCACGGTTCCGTCTCAAAGCTTTTCTGATTTGTTTGTGGTCAGCTCACCTGTGGCAGCCAGCCATTCATGACATGTTTCTTTTTTAGCATTTTTTATGTTTGGCTTTTTCTGCTCTGGTTTATGGGCTTGTGTCAGCAATATGACATTCAACAAGGTGAGTTTGTATTACTTCAGCTTGTGATACATTGTTGTGTTTTTTTTTTCCTTTTCTTGCCGTGGCTCAATATGAATGGAGAGAATAATGTTTCTATAACTGCTTGCAATCTCATCGAGTCTCTCCTTGTGATACTAAAAGCTTCAGGTAGTTGTTGTTTATTGTGTGCAGCCACAAAGGTCGTTCAGGATCCACTCAAGTTTAAATACCACATGCTTCATGGTTTATATGAGGAGCAAAGTTCAACGAGACTGGTTTTTCTCTAGATACTGCTGCGGTTTTTGTTTGTCGATTGGATTGAATTTAGCCATTTTTTGATTTACACCTGTTTTTAGTTTTTTCTACTCCTCTGACATGTTTTCCTCCTTTTGTTCTGATTTCAGATGTACTCGGTGGATACAATGGGACTATCTTTGCCTATGGGCAGACCTCTTCGGGGAAAACACACACCATGGAGGTGCAGTATTCCTAAATAATTCAATAGAGAACCTTCCTCTGGTGGCACATACAGGCCCATAAGCTTCTTTTTTTTTAACTCCTTGATTTTTGTCATCTCTTCTGCCTGCCATCGTATCAGTGTATCCACCTCCATCACAACCATCATCCTTTATCTCTCAATCCCAGCCTTGTGTGAGAACCATCTTTTTTTTACAACTCTCCCTGGGAAACATCGCTGGCCCTTTTCAAGTTAAAAAATCCTCTATGTTCTCTTTCTTTTACTGTTCTCTCTGCCTAATTCCTCCCAGACTTATCGCTTATCCAATTGTTCAGACACACCCTCTCACTCATAGAGTCATTTTGCCTCCTGCAGGGGAAGCTTCATGATCCCCAGGCTATGGGGATCATTCCCCGGATCGCCCAGGACATTTTTGAACATATATTTGCCATGGATGAAAACCTGGAGTTTCATATAAAGGTCTGTGTTGCTTTGCAGTCATTTCTGTTTGTGTGTGTGAGGAAAATGATGTGAGTATCGGTGATTCGCTTTCAGGGTCTTTGATATAATGATTTATTGTAATCAATAAATCATTATAAACAAGTATATTTCTGCATATTATTTTCTATGCATCACAGTGTTATTATGTAAGCCTGTGGTATGAAGATGATAATGATTATATCTCACTGCTGGAAACTGGATTATTGCAACACTGTTTAGCTCTTGTAGCAAGTATCTTTGCATCACCCAACTAGAAGTTGTTTGCAAACATATTCATACCCCTTTAACTTTATCTATTTAGTGTGTTGTGAAGAGAAAAGAAAAAATATTATTTTTCAAGTGTTTGGCAAATAAAAATCTGATATATAGCATGCATAGCATTCATGAAATAACCCTAAATAAAATCAAGTGTGACTAATTGCTTTCAGAAGTTACATAATTGGTAAAGAGGTGTTTAAGTCATATCCAGTAGCTGTTCTGTGAAAGCCACAGAGGCTGTTTGTTCAGACCTATAGTGAACAAACCATCAAGACAAAATTCCTGAGCAATCCTGAAAGGTCTTGGAAATCCACATCAGATTGTAGAAAAATGTTCACTCTGATTGGAGTTAGCAGAAAAGAGGGAGGACGGAAGAAGAACTAAAGGCGGCACATCAGGCATCAGGTTTTATCTCCCCATAACTGGTGGTGCACAACTCCAGTGTCCTCTTCACACTATATAAACATGTAGTTTATATAAACTGAAGCTGTTGTTTTAGGTGTTTCTCTGAGGACTAGAGCTGTCCGCCTACATGTTGGAGACAACTTGAGGCTGGGGCAAAGGTTTCCCTTCCATCAGCTTAAAGACTGTAAACATGCAGCTAGAACTACAAGGGAATGGTTAAGATCAAAGGTATCCATGTGTTAGAATGGGTCGGCAGAAGTTCAGAACTGATTCCAAATGAGAATCCACAGCGAGAATTGAAAATTGCTGTTCACAGATGCTCTTTGTTCAGTATGACTAAGCTTTAGCTATACTCCAATGAAGAATAGACAGAAATATCAGTCTCAGAGAGCAAGAACAGGCCCAGCGGGACTGAATATATATAAATATACATTAAATTAAAATCATGCATCATTTTCCTTCCACTTCATGGTTGTGCACTACTTTATGTCAGCCTTGAATAAAATCCCAATAAAATACATTAAAGTTTGTGGTTTATCCCTATAGAATGTGGAAAAATTCAAGAGGTTGAAATATTTTTTTACTTGAATCTTTATGTTTCACCTCTCATTTAGGACTACAGTGTGTTATATTTAGCAAAGGGGGGAGAAAAATTCAGTTTCATGTTTCTGACTTTTTTGCAGGTCTCCTACTTTGAGATCTACATGGAAAAAATCCGTGACCTCCTGGATGGTATGCTTTATGCTTTTTGTCAAATAGTTTATTGTTCTGCAGAAGGGAAACCAAAACCCTTTAGCTACTCTTAGAGGCATCATAGGGCACATCCAAGATGACCTTGACTTATTTATGTTTTAAATGTACCTTTCAATCTATAATTGTCCTTTTTTGCAGAAAATTAGACCTGAACATCTATAATTCTTTCATTCATTGGTTTTTATTTGTATAAAATGATTAAATCAAATGATCAATGAATTAGAAACAAGAAAATCAAAAGCTGAATGCAATAATTTACATTTTCAGCTTCTCTGCGTCAGTCAGTAATGGTGTGAAGGTGGTGCAGCTCATATTGTTTTATCATTCAGAAATACATTCAGTGTAAAATGATGTAGAGTTGGATTGAGAACCATGCACACCATTTCTGTGATTAATATTTTATGGACCTTTAAACAATGGTCAAAACTGACATCTGTATGCAGACTGGTTTGCAGACTCTGAGAAACATTTAAACTAGGTGCAACAAAAGAGTCAAAACAAGCAAATTGAATTAATAAGGTGAAGAAAACACCCAAGTGTTTTATAACCCTGTAGGGTTATAAAAGTGTGCATATTTACTCTCAGAAATTATCCAAGGATTTATCCACTATAACTCTTGAATTTTAATTATAATCAAGATAACAGGACTCTTATAAAAATTACAAATGTAGGAATACGAATGTGAGCCTGTGCAAAGATATTGTGTTTTGTTCACTGAAGCATCCACTTAACTGCTCAGTGATTTTGACAGAAATAGATTAATTAAAATCTAAAAGCATTCATAGACTGTTGCAAGGTTTTTTTTAACAGTGCATAGACGTTGCAGCAAGGAACGTCTATGCACTGACGTTCCCTTCTAGACGTTGACTCACAAATATGAAGGGAAAATGATCAGGTCGCATTAAATTCATGTGCAAAAAATTATAGTTATTTGACTGAAATGTTGCCCTTTCTGCTTATTTTCCCTTCATGTCATTGCAGTGACAAAAACCAACCTGTCAGTGCATGAAGACAAATACAGGGTTCCCTATGTGAAGGTGAGTCAGCGTCAGATATGATTCAGCTTTGCTGCATAGACGTTCCGGCCCTATTAATGTTGTGTTTTGATGTTAAAAAGTTAATTTCAGCTAAAGATTTGCCTCAGGACACAAAATTCATCCCTGGGAACGATGTAACACTGAAGTTGAGGATGTTATTTCTGCATTTGGGAAATGTGTGGTGCTTGAAGTGCACCGTTATTGCATTTCTCTCACTTCTCTTATTTTTATGCATTAAACACCAGAGATACTATTCCTGTTTTCCCAAAACAAATTCATCAAAGTACATGGTGTTGGTGGATGTGTTCAAAACCCAAAAATGGTAAAAAGAAAAATAAATCAGTTTTTCTCCATATTTGAACTGATCAACGAAACCTGGCCAATTCCTGGCAGAATATTTGGTGCATTTTTAAAATCTGAAACATCTTCAGATAGATTTTACAGATTCGTTTGTGTAGCTTTTTTTATTGTTGAATATTTTTGTCTGCATTGACTCTCGAATGTCTGTACTCTCCTGTTAAAATTCAAGAATCTGATACAATGCAAAAATAATTTCCAGACTTTTTCAGTCTTTAATGTGACAAATCCAATGCCATTCAATTGAAAAACTTTAAAAAATGTTGGGAGGAAATTTTGAAAAAAATAAAGTTTGTATCCTTAAATTCATATTTTCTTGAAACATCTTTTGATTTAGTTTGACTGTTACTGAGGTTGCATCTCCCAATGAATGAACTCACTGAATCTGAGATAAGCTTCAGCTGCCTTTTTTCTTTAAATCACTTGATATAGCCTCTAGCTAAAGCCATACTTTGCAGGGAGGTTTCAAAACAATCTCATTGCACAAAGATATTCATCCGAAGAAGAGTGGAAAAAAAGGAAAGAAATACTACAGCACAAGTTTATACTGTTGTACAGTCAAGAGCAATAATAATTGGTGAAAAACTAAGCTATTTAGTTTTTCAAAGCTAATAAAATGATAGGAGGCTTCCTGCAGACCGGTGAGAAATTTTCAATTTGTTTGTCACATTTAATAAATTTGAATATGCTTATGATGAGGTTTGTTTGTCAGACTAAAAGTGCCTCCTGGTAATGTCGACCTTCAAGTAGGTACTAAACATAGTTTTCATTAGGCTTACAATAAATTTCTAATTAGTGTGACTTAATATTCTAATCTTAAATGTCATGTTTATTAACTCTAAGTGGAAAAGCAACATAATTATGGTCATAATCATCATAAAGGCTAGACAACATCAGTCTGAGTGTAATTAATCTACAGTATGTGATGTGTTTTACTTGCAAAATGTAGTTACTGAAATTAATTAACGATCCCTTATTTTTACTTTATTGAATATGCAAAATTTCCTATTTTCCTCAAGAATATTATATTTTTCATGAATCAGTATTCAAGTTGTTTACATCTACAGTATGTACTCAATGTTTGCTTTTTCTGAATGATCTCATGGCTTACAGAAATAAATGAGGGTTGTTATTCTGTGTTATCTTCTAATTTGGTTGATTTTTACACAACAGGGTGCACTTGGCAACAGTATGGTGAGAAATGTATTTATTGTGTTTCTTCTACAAATGAGAAGGATGATTTTAATATTCGGGAGCTAAAAGCTGTAATCATCGATATTTCAGCTTTGCCTGAACGGCTGACAGAAACAGAGCTACTGTTTGCTTTATTTTCCGTGACTCAGCTAAGCATCATTTGGCTGCTTCATTACAGCATCGAACAAAATGAAGAGTGTCATCAATCTTCTCATGCATACTTACTAACTGTTGGTTTGGTTTCAATCTGTCTCCAAACAAACAAGAAATCAGCAAATTTCAGTCTTGCAACATAGTTTGAGGATCCTGTCTCAAAGTGATGCATCTTTCTTTATTTTGTGTGTAATTCAAGGTAATACTAAAAATAGACTTTGCCAACATACCAGGATTGATTTGCACATAGAATAAGTTGAGTATATGTGTACTTTTATCTATGCATACACCTTTTTGAACACGACTTTGTTACAGCAAAGAGTGTATTAATGTAATCTACTAATGCAATACATTTAGGGCTGCACAGAACGGTTTGTCACCAGTCCTGAAGAAGTGATGGATGTGATAGATGAGGGGAAGGCCAACCGTCACGTTGCTGTCACCAGTGAGTCACTCCGTTGATCTTCCTGATGGTCTGACATTCAAACTGTCACACATTTCATGTCAGGACTTTTTTCAGTGGATGAAGGATTTGTGAAGTGCAGAGTGGGGATTGATCAACTTCATTCTTTTTGTGGAAAAGCAAATAAAATTAATTAAACTCTGAATAAAGGCTACGCTCTTTGACCTTGCTCTTCTTTGTATTTTTGCCCAGATATGAATGAGCATAGTTCTCGTAGTCACAGCATCTTCCTGATCAACATCAAGCAAGAAAATGTAGAAACGGAGCAGAAACTGTGCGGGAAGCTCTACCTGGTTGACCTTGCTGGGAGTGAGAAGGTAGGAAATAAGCAGGGTTTTTCTTTTAAACATTAAAAGAAAAAATCCTGTTTTATTGAGGCGGGGATCTCAAGAGGTTATCACCAGAAAATATTCTACCTACTGTTAGTATCTTCACTTTATTGAAACAGAAAGTAGTTTTAAAGTTAACAATGTGACCATAACAAAACAACTCCAAATTTAAAAATATCACAAAGGTTAATTTAAATGCCATCTTTTAAATTTTAACACTACTACTACATGTTACATATGAATCATAAGATGTTGACAATACAGACCAAGCTTTTTGATTTTTTTAACTAAACCTGTTGAGATAATTAAGCTACAGTGAGAATCTGATACAATTTTCAGATAAAACACAGAAGTCTGCTTTTAACATAACTACTTTTTGACTATGTTAGCAAAAAAGCTAATCTCTGTCTGACCAAGTGGATTATGCCAACAGCAGATGCAATTCCAGTCTCTTGCGGTGGGGAAATGCATAGTAGGTATCTCCAACCAGCATGTCCCACAGAAACAAACGTTCACACTCACTCCTAAGAACAATGCAGAGAGATTCATTAACCCAACCTGCAGATATCTGGATTATAGCATAGTACTAGAAAGTGGGAGTACCAGAGAGAATCCATACAAGCACAGGGAGAAAGTTCTCCTGGCAAAGACAGTCCAAAGTCAAGATTCAAACCTTTGTAGCTTGACGGATTAGTCAATGGGACTTGAAGAGCTTGATTGTGTTGATGGTCTTTCCTCCAGGTTCAAGAAAGCCAGATTTAATGTCTAATATTCCAAAGGGGATGGATGCACTGGAGGTAGATGACGGCTGAATTGATATGGCAAACAAGGAAACATGCTATGTCCTGCAGACAGAGTATAAAACATGCAGCATAATCAAAGCCATGAAGGCTTTCTTGTCTCATCTAAAATTGTTCAGAAAAGAAGGTTAAAGTATATGATGAAGCCTGTTATATCACTCTTCATGAATACATGCAGAATAATCCAGCACATGAATAAATAAACACTTGATACATGGCTGAGGAATAAAATATGCACACAATGATTTCCATCCAAGCACATTTGTGGTACATTATCTAGAATTGATGTTTATGAATTATACAGCTAAACAGTCTAAGGTACAAAATTGGATACAACTGGATATAATTTTAATCTAAAGGAAGAGCCATGTCAAAGTTTGCTATTTTTAGTTTTACCTGCTATCTGAACAAACATACTTTATTCTAGCTAAAATACATTTATCTGCATCAGTTACCAATGTCTTAATTTCTTCTGTACTCTTCTGCTTTTTTATTTATTTTCTTGTTTTTGCTAAACGTAGGATGGAAACCTTCTCACCGTTTTTAAAGAGCCTGCTTGTTTTGAGCTGGGAGCCCTTTAAGGAGCTTCACAACTGCAACCACTGTCTTTGCAAACTTACCCCATTGTCATTGCCCTTCGATTCAAATATAATCAGCCATCTATGACTCCTGTCTATGAGGAGCCCCAAGATCTACCCTGGTTTTATAGTCTTGAGTTCATGGGAATAATGTAACAGATAAAGCAATGTATACTAAGAGCAGCAAAGAGCTATAGGACGGTATTGACAAATGCTGACGGCTGCTTTTTGTAGCATTTAAGTGCTGATGGTGCATCTGTTTGTTGCCTTGATCAACCTTGGGGGGCAATGAAGAAATATTTATGCTCTACCAATTTATGGAGGTTGAGGACAAAATGTTATCAACTGTACTAAAATGGAAGAATGTTCACAGTCTGCAGATTTTTCTTGTAATTAAGGCTCTTTTTATAAAGCTCTAATTAGATCCCTTGACAATACACTCAAGATTGAGTGTCTTGGAGAAATCTTCAGAAAATCCAGCTGCATCTCACATCATCTTCCCTTCTTAACACTTTACACTGTACCCATTTATTTATTGGTCTTTAAATTCATTGGGAAATTAGTCCTAAAACCATGTCACATATTATTTTGGTGTCTAAAAAAAGCTATGCTGAAAAGATGAATTATTTTGTCTGAATAAAATATATGCACACTTTATCTTATACATATAAGAATGGAGTTCTATTGAATCCCATTCTGGCTGAAGCAGATGTCTCCTCATGTTTACCTGGTGTTATTGGTAGTATTTCTTTATAACAAGCAAGTATTAGAAAATGAATGCAAACCGATCTGTGTGTACTCTCTGTGAAGTCATCCCTTTTGGTTCCTGTCCCTTACTGATTTCAACCAATCGAAACATGGTAGTTATACCAGATCAATAAAGGTTTTTATACCGCTGATCAATTAATCTATAAGGGAGTCAAACTTACTTAAGAACCATTACAGCTACCACCAAAATGGTTTATTGGAAAATATATTTGGAGCCCAATTGCTGAAAACAGACTTAAATACCATATAAAGTTTTTTTTTAATTTTTTTTTTAAGTTGATAGACTTAATAGATTGAAGCAAGTATTTCATGGAAATAAATAATTTTTCAAGCACTTCAATTGGTTATATGAAAATTTATGTGAGAATAAGAAAAACAACTTCATGTGGAGAACCTTACAAAAATATTTGTCATCTTTAGATTCATTTGTATTTTGAAATGTTGAAATTGCAAACATCATAAATACTTTATAGGGATTTTATGTGGTAAAATAACACAAAATTGTGTGAAATGGAAAGAAAATCATTAATGGTTTTCAGTTTTTCCACACAAATAATGTGAAGTGTGTTGCTTAGACTTGTGTTTTCTCTTACAGCTGCAAATAAAAACTTATGTTCTTTCTTCACAAGTCACCTAATTGGTACTTGGAGCCCATCCATGTGTGACTTAATCTCAGTACAAATACAGCTGTCATCTGAACGCTCTCATATTAATTTATTACATAAAATCCTAACAAAAGACAAAGGCATGTGTTCACAGTCATCCCTAATGACTGTGAACAATCATTAGGGATGGAGTGTTTAAAAGGCCAAATAAGTGTGACAATCTATCAAGAAAATACAATAAATAAAAATATTAAAACCAAAAAATAATGAAGCATCACATAAAAGCCAGATGGTCTTTAACAGATATTGATAGCTCCTCTCAGATACTCTGTGAAATTCCTTCAGATGTTTGAATGCTGAATAAAATCAGAAAGAAAAGGATTTTAAGGGCCTTCATCAGGCAGCCTGATGCAAGGGAATGTATTATTTTAGAAACTCTATGAAAACCAAAATAAACAAGTTGCGTGAAGACTTTCAAGTGATAATTGTATTAGAAAGAGATTTCATTTGTGCCTGGATTAAACAGTTAATGATCTAATTTCTCCATGTTTGTGTATTTGTGTCAGGTCAGTAAGACAGGTGCGGAGGGATCGGTGCTAGATGAGGCCAAGAACATCAACAAGTCCCTATCGGCTCTGGGGAACGTCATTTCTGCTTTGGCTGAAGGGACGGTGAGATGAAAAATGAAAAGCTACCCAGTCCCCTTAATCCGTCAGCAGCTGCCTCAGGCTTGACTTGTTAATTATTTGTTTTAAACAGATAAGTCATGCTTGTCATTGGAAGAATATGTATCCTGGCTGCAATGAATTAGTCTGAATTATTAAATTAGAAACACATTAATTCCTTAAATATGGAAGTTGGTTTATTATCAGTGAATCTGATTGTAATTTATGTGTATTTGTTGTCATATAATAACAGCCCGGATAATTACTTTACAGCAATTAACTTGCTTATTAAAAAACAATTTAACATTTTTAACAACAAGCTGAGACTCTTTCATCTTTTATTTACAAGCTATGCTCAAAAGAAGTATTGTCTGAATGCCAGTGAATACATGTTGAATTGATTCTGAAGTTAATACTTTTATTTTGCTCATTTAACTTATAACATAATCCCTTGTTAGTTAACTGTAAAGCTCTGACTGTGTCCCAAGATAAACAGCACTGCAGAACTGTCCAGATGCCTGTCCAGCAGAACCGAGAGACAATTACGATGAGAAAACATAATTTTGTTTCTATTCTATCCAGCTATTACCTTTTGTCACACAATGACCTTCTGGATGGCTGTGGTACAGAGGTATACCGTTTTAAATAAATAAAAAAGGCACAATTTTGATACTAAGAGTAAAACTGCTGAAAGAGTTGTGACTCGTCTTTCTGGTGTGCTGCAGTGACACGTTTGGTGGCCTGCTGTTCCTCTCACACCACTCTGTACGCTCCTACAGCTGCTAATATGACCCATTTGTCCCACTCTGTGGTCCTTCCAAGCGTCCTTATTGTAATTAGAGCACTCACTATTTTTTATTGTGAGGCTCAGGGCTCAGGGAAGTCCTCATAAACCATATGGAAAAAGGCTGGCAGTCTGAAATGTTGTTTCAATTTAATAGAAAAGTGAATGTTCATTTCCTATTCACTGAGCAAGGACACGGTCTTTAAGGATGCATTCAGAGGGTTAAAACGGTGCAACTCTGAATAATACAACTTGCAAAGGAACAGTATTTTACATTTTTCTTCGCCTCCCATGTGAAAAACTCATATTTCAAAGAAAGGACTGTTTTGCATTTCTCTGATCTGATGTCTTTTTCTCAATCTTGAATTTCTTTTCTTCTCTCCTGCTTTTGTCTCTGCAGAAAACCCATGTGCCGTATCGTGACAGCAAAATGACTCGCATCCTGCAGGACTCACTGGGCGGGAACTGCCGCACCACCATGTTTATTTGTTGCTCTCCATCCAGCTACAATGATGCAGAGACCAAATCCACGCTGATGTTTGGCCAACGGTAACATGGATCTCTGTGTTTGGCAGTCCTGAACTACTGCACTGCTGTGCAAAACAAAACAGAACCCTGTGGTTCTTCACAATACACTGAACTAGGTTATACCAATTTACTGCCACCCCCCTATCCAGTGGTTTCAGCTGAGACTCCAAACTGGGCTGCTCCAACCTCTTAGTATGACAAGAAACATGTTTGTTCAAATTAAAATCTGACCTGAAATACAAATCTATCAAGGGATTAATTATATACTGTATCATAGCACCCTGGAAACAGATTGAGTTGAATGTATCATTAAAAAGCCCTAAGTTAACGTCACATTCATAAATGGGGGTATCTGAGTAAAATTGTAAGTAATAAGATTAGAGTGACTTCAAGTTTTTAATTGGTCGTTCAGAAAGGAACAAAAACAGAAGAGAAGAGATGAATAACTAATTCATCTTGGCTTTTTCTTAAGTTTTTTCAAATGACATCTAATTCTACAGACTAATTTACTATGAGGAATTTGGGCTCTTTTTCCTTATTAAAGGCAGACAAATCAAATAATTCATAGGATTAGGCTTACTGTTGAACTTTTTTAGAACAATATGTTTGATTATCTTCATTTTGCTCTTCACACATCCTTTTATCTTGGATCTAATTGGAATAGAAATGAGCAGAAAAGGATGTTTGTCTTGCAAACAGTAGGAAGTCCTTGTATAAGAACACACTGTTTTGCTGGGGTGTGAAATAAGTAATAGCACATCCTTTCATTCAGTGATGCCTTTTATTTGTGCTAGCAGCAGAATAACATACTCAATCTTTTTAAGATTTTTATGATTGCATTGATTCATTGTACATATTTTATGCAGTGTGAATCACCAGTCCTCTTTTGCTCCCTCACCCTATGCACACCAAACACTGTTTGCACATAGCCAATTTGCATACCAATTAATGAGATGCAAGTTAATGTTCACTGTGCAGGCAGACATTTTCTCTGTTCCCTCACACTTTGCTGTTCCTCTCTTTTCACTGTCCATTGTCCCTTCCACCTCTTTGCTCCTCACTCCCTCCTTTCTTGTCCATGATGCCCTTTCCTTCTCCACGCTCCCCTCTAATTAGAGCCAAGACCATTAGAAATACCGTCACAGTGAATCTGGAGCTCACAGCGGAGCAGTGGAAGAAGAAGTACGAGAAGGAAAAAGAGAAGAACAGATCGATGAAGGAAACTGTACAAAGACTTGAAGCTGAGCTGAACCACTGGAGGAATGGTAACGCTTCCACCGATCATGATTTGTACATATGTATACAAAGGAAAAATAAAAATGGCTGCTTGTGGGTTTGTGTCTCATGTAAAACATTTGTAAGATATTGATATATTTTCAGCCAAGCAAATGTTTTGACTCTTCAGTTTGACTGAGATTGAAATTTAGTATAAATATATCCAAACACAAAACTTTATATATTGAATTTGACAACCTACTGCTGCTACCAAATTAATTGAAAACACTGAGCCCAAGTTTCCATGACAGGATCATCAGAAAATATACAGTCCTCTTCCTGATATCTTGACTGATTTTTATCACACATGGACGAATTTCCTTCAACACCTTAAAATAAAACCACAGGTTTGCCTCCAGTTAACTAAAAATCCTATTAAGTCATGGCATCATTTGTGCTTTCACAGCTTGTTAAAGGCAGAATGATTTTAATGTCCGTAGCTTCCGATTTTAACCCTTGTTAAAAATATCCCCCTCATTACTCTGGCATTTAGCAACTAAAAATAATTGTGGTGATCCTGACTCACCTAAAACAGAATAATTGAATTAGAAACTGAGGAGAAAAACAGACAATATAGACATTTGGTTTCTGTTGTAGATTCTTAAAATGTATATCTTATTAAATAGGATATTATGTTCACATTATATTCTCTTCATTGATTGTCTCTGCAATGTCCAAGCAAGAGGCTGCAAAAGTACAAAATGACAAAGGGCTAAAATGACTAGGACCCCTGATAAAGTATTTTGAAAGAGATCAAATTGTTTCTTTTTCCAAGGCTTTAAAGTTTAACTTCACAAAAAAGGATCTCAGCTTTAGCACTTAAGCTCAAGCGGATGGATTGAAATTCACTTGAGATTTGAATCAAACCATTTTCAAATATTCTATTGTGGTATGATATAATAATAATACATGTTTTTATACCTTAGAAACAATTTATATGAAGGAGGATAAGATTTACTATGTCATCAATTAGTTTTACTCTTTTTCTTTATTCCCCTTCATTGTCTCATTTTCAAAGCAGTCATTTTTAAAACTAGCTCTATTTTTCTGATGAGCCTTAAATCAGTCTTCCATTTAAAAAATATGACTTGATGAAAACCTGGCGGAAATGTTGGAAAAAGCCCTACAGAGAAGAATTACTGCAGAACATGTTCCTGTCCCTGTCTCTTTTTATGCATGGATGGCTTTTCACTTACAGGAATGAATTTTTCACCAACCCGCAGGCATCACTTTTTCCTCCACGTAAAGGAAGATTTAACCTTTTTTGATCTAATCCGAATACCTGTCAGTGGAGATATAGGAGGAAAACAGCCTAACAGATTTGTTGGACTCATGCCCAAAACGCATAAACACTGCTTTTTGGCTATCTCTGTCAGTTTTTTGTTTTTTTAACTTGCACACTTTGTGTAATTGGATTTCCCATAACATTGTACTCAGATAAATTATTGCAGCAGAATTTGCTTTATGAATCTCTATGTTTTAATCATATCCTGGCCATCCTACTCCACAGAAAAGTCATAACGTAGAGTGGTTTTCTCACATGTCAACCCACACAAACAACAGCATTTTCTTTTCTTCCAGACGCACAGTGATGTGCATCTACTCCTACCTGTTGGACTTTTCAAATGTCAGTGCACTCAGTGGTGGTGATCAGTTGACATTCAAGCCATGAATCTAATTTCTGCTTTTTGTTTCTTGCGAAAAAATCTCCCCCAGCGTTTGACCTGCATTTTAATGAACCGTAACACATCTTTATTGAACATTCATGAGCAGAAATAATTAATTTTATGGCATCCTCCTGTAGCTCCACACTTAAATGTTCCTCAGACTCTCTTTGTCTGGATAGCACTTACAATTCATAGAATTTTATATATCATTTTGACAGAATCTTTGCCCCAATTTCTCTCCCACAGGTCATTTCACCGCTTCACATTTCTGACTTGGGACTCTCCTAGGTGAATGCTGTTGACCTCCATCTTGCACTACATTATTGGGCTCTTTAATCAAGACTGTCCCAATGGAAATGACTCAAACAGGAATATTTACTCAGTTTGCATTTCTGAAAGGAGAGTCTCTGCCAGAATGGAGTGTCAAATCTAAGTCAGTCAAGTTTTATTCATTCAGTACAAAGAAAACACTTTAATCCCAGCAGCAGTGTTTTCAGCAGAATTCTGGATTATAAACCACATCATTTTTTCACACACTTTGAAACAAAGTTTAAGATATATAATTTTTGAAAAGAAAAAAAAAAGATCTCCCTTGCCTTGTCCCAGTATTCCCAGTGCTAAGTTCAGCAAAACAGGACGCGCTTTGAGTGATCAGGTTCTATATATGTGACTGCAAAGGTACTATAAACATTTTTTACATTAACTATTTGCACTGCATACATATTATCAATGTAAGGTTTTTACAAAGACAACTGCATATGCAAACATATGCGCTCTCTCTTTTGAGGGAAAATCTTGTTCTTTATTTTTTGCACATAACTGCTCCAGTTAACTCTAAAAGTCAGTTTATAGAGCCGTTACTCGTGAGTAGAGCACGGTTTAACGATGCCTGAGAGAGCTGAGTTCAGCTCAGATTTGTTATATACATAAAAAGCAGCTTTAAGGTCACAGTTCTCAAAAAGTAGACCAATATTATGAATATGCTCATTTGTATCTCAGCACACTGCCTGTCCCCCAAATTCTAAAGGATGTTGCTGCTCATTTAAATGAATGTGTGCAGGTATTTATCTGCTGCATGCAGGATACCAGTCCTTGAGAAAAGTTTCAAATCCTTCAGTAGAAGAACGAAAGAACAAGACAAAGACAGAAGAATTACAACTTAGCAAGGGATACCTGCAATTACAACTTAATAAACTGCAAAATCTTCTGACTGGATTAATAAAATTGACATATATAAAGACAACAGAATCAAGTTCCCCAAAAGTGAAAACTTACAACGACTAACGAGAACATGCCTCAGTCTGATCTGGCTAGCTCTAACAACAATCAATAAAAAAGAATGTTTTTGGCTCGACGGTAAAAGTGGAAAACATGTCCTCTTTTTCCGTTGTATCTGTGTCTCTGTAATTGCTTGCAGATTTGTTTTACATTTATCTGGTTTCAGGTTCCTGTAGAGTCCCTTTTCACTGCAGACAAGATAAAGTGCTTGTGAAACATGATTAAAAACAAACAGTGTTTCCCCACAGATTTACCCATCTGATCCAACTGACCTGAGTAAACATGTAATGAGTTCCTTGTGTATATGTTAAGCAAGAACATATTAAACAGGGAGACTGTTGAACTATGTGTTAAGAAATGTAACATCAAAGTATATTTAAATAGACCTTCAACTATAGTAAATCCTCACAGACAGAAGCTGATGTGACTAATATTTAAGCTAGTCACATCTTTCTGCAGTGTGACATTTAAGCTAGTCATGCTGCTTTCTGACTCACAGAAAGAAGCTCTACACTTTATATAGATGCAATTTGTGTACTAATTTATAAAGAAATGACATAACTACATGACATGACAAAATATCTTCAGCTATTTCAATACTATTATTGAGCTCCTTGTTTTTTCTGTTATTTTAAAATAAATCTTGAATCTTGAATATGATAACTAAGCTTGAATGGAAAGATAAACTTGTATTTCCTATTAGGTCGTCCTCTCCCTCTGAGATTTTGACAGACACTTACATTAGCTTTTGCACCCAATCAGAGTTTGTCTTGTACATCCTAACAGCTAACAATGTTGTGCAAAAGGAGCACCTGACATTTTCTCTCATTAATATCAGGACTGTGTCGACTGAGCTAATGCTAGGTGACAGTGTTGAGGAAGATGTCTCCCCTTGACACGCAACCATTTTAAATTTCACATTTGAATTGATTGGACTCAGAGGAAACATGAATAAGATGAACCTCATAATCCCATTTTATGCATTCATTGATTGAGAGAAGGACAGCTCAATGACAAAAAAACATTTTCCTTCTGTCTCTATAGGTGACAATAATGTTGTGCTGGGGCAGCTGGGTGAAGGATTGGAGGATGCCCCCTTTGTGCCTCTGGATTTTGAAGAGGCAACTCTTGAATTATGCAGCCCATGCACCCCCTGCACTCCTTGCAGCCCCTGCTCCTTAGCGTCATCCATTGTGGTTCACATCTCAGAGGAAGAGCGGCATAAATATGAGGAGGAGATCCGCAAGCTGTACAAGCAGCTGGATGATAAGGTGATGACTGGAGCAAGAGGATTGTCTGGGAATGAATGCGGAGCTGATTACACACCTTGTGTGAGATGCAGTAACATGCATGCAGCTACACAGAATACATTATACATGCATTGTTTAAAAGGTGATTTATTTACTGTAGCGGCTATTAGTGAAGGATATCACTGAGGCAAAAAAGGTGTAATTTCTTTTGAAAAGCTAAGTCTTAAATTGACATATTTTCTTACATTGCATTTTATGGTTGTAGAGTCTAGTTTGAAGTTCAACACTTAATTTGTATTTTTTATCTTCCCTTTTGCACTTTTCTGTATAAATCACATGATGTTTAGATGTTTTTTTTTTTTTTCCAATATACGTCCCATACTGTACTAAACTCCTGAATTTAGTTCCTCACTTTCACTTCTGCAAAGTTTTCTTTCCAAGAAACCTGACTTCTTAAACAGCCTTTATCAAAACTCCATCAGGCTTTTTGAGTTAGGTCTTTTAAGTATTTTCCTTTTTTTTTACACTCAATGCTTCTCTTCTGCCTAATTTTCAGATCAGTACATGACCATTTCACATGTTCCTCTAGGAAGTCACCCAACTCTTTTAAATAATTTATTCTCAAATAAAAATGTCGCAAACAGAAGAAATTTGTTGTGTCGACACAACAGACACCCTACATTGGCTGTTTGTGGTCAATAATTTTAGCAATTTCTTTGCATCAATTAAATCAAATAAAAAAATGCTTCTGAAAGTGACATTTCTGATGCATTTCTCACTTTGTCTTCTTTTGCTCTTTTCTACCAACACTGTACCATTTGCTACAATGGTTAGTAAGTTTGATAAAGCAAATTATATTGCTGAAAAAAATCAGCATCACCTTTGAAGAATGCAAGAAAGTTTGTTTTCTTGGAAACAAAAGCTAAAAGAAATTAGGAATGTCCAGTCCAGACAATCTCTGAACTTTGATACAAAGAAAAAACAGCCAAACAGGCATGTGTTTGTGTTAAAAGGCTTAATTTTATTTTATTTATCCATAACACATCTAGAAACACTTTGTTTTTTAAATTACTTTTTAAAACCCAAAGTTGTATTTACAACTTTGAGCACAAGTTGTGAATGGATGCTTGTGTTCACACGCTGAGCCCAGAAGATTTGGTGTACAGTCATAAAAACACACAAATTAACTGTTTCTATTCCACTGAAGGACGATGAGATCAACCACCAGAGCCAGATGGTGGAGAAGCTGAAGGAGCAGATGCTCGACCAGGAGGAGGTAAAAGATCTTGGTTTTTACATCCTTTCATCGGTTTGCTTTAAACAGCTCACAGTGGGCCGTCGTTTCTGCGAGCATGCCAACGTGAATCACAGTTCAAGCAGAAGTCAGCTGTGAGAGGGTTTACCATCCTGCCCTTGAGATGAATGAGCTGGAAAAACAACACATTTCTGCTGCCAATAAGGAGATAGAGTAAATGAGTCTGTGGTTGCTGATCAGTAAGTATATTTATGCTAACTGGAGTTTAAAACCTTTTTAAACTCCAAGTGCAAACACAGATGAAAGTCTGCAGCTCTGTAATATTAAACTCCTTGGAGTTCATTTTTCTTCAGTTACAAAATGTTTTTGACTTAGTTGCATTTTCAGCTAGTAAATTATTTTTTGCCAATAAGTAAAGAAGGAAATAACTTATAAGACATTTTTAGTGCTGGAACGTTGACAAGTAAACTTTGATTAATTATTTACATAGATTCTAAAAATATTAGTGCAACTAATCGCAAAGAAAGATTATTATTAGTGTGAATCTCATAGCTTTCTTTGCACAAATTGCTGCATCAATGCAACATAGCGTGGAGATGATCAGCCTTTAGGTCTCCTTAGTTTTTAAATTCAGCTTGCTTTGATGGCAGCCTTCTTCTCATCTGCATTATGTGTCTCACTGGATCCAACAATCATCAAAAGAATCATCCCATAGATTCTTTTTAGGGTACAGGCCTGTTTTCTAGCTAATAAAAAACACTGAAACCACAATCATTAAACTGGCATTGGTACTTTTCTCCTGAGGGCCGAGTCCTGCTGGAAAATAAAAATGACAACTGTGTCTATGGAGCAACAGCAGCAAATAACATGACTCCCCAAATCATTACTTTGCTAACCTCGTACTGTTGGCATTTTTAGGTTAGATAAGGACCAACAGTTTGGTAAAACAGAGACTTTAATGAGTAAAAACAGAAACTTACAACTGTCAGTCAAGGAGCATCAAAACAAATCTGCAGATAAATAAAAGGCATTGGACCATCACAGGCTGAGACCCAGTAGCCTGACCAACATAGAACCAGAAGGGAAACAGGGGAACTGGGGAATCTAGCAAGGAAAGACTGAGAAAGATAGTTAATATATTGGGAGCATTCCACTCAAAAAGAAGTGTTATCCATATTTTCTGGATTTGGACATTTATGTCCCATAACAGCCCTACTGTGAGCTGCGTTGCCATAAATGTAGCTACCAAATCAGAAACGTTGCAACATAATGACCATTTGTCCAAACAAAGGCTTTGAGCTTGTGTAAATATACTGAAAACCCAGGAGGAGCAGCATCTACATTTTATGACACGTAATTCAGGCAGATGACTCTCAGTGGGCTGCAGCAGAATAACAAAAGCTGGTGGCAAAATAAAATGACCTTTCTCTTTGTGCAGTGATATTCTGAGGTGAGTACTTTAATAATTTGTTCACCTGCATTGCATTGCAGTCTTGTAAAGACATTTAGTTTTTCTAGAAGAAAGGCTATTGTGTTTTGTTAAAAAGTTGCATTTTGTCTTTTATTTCTGTATATATAACCTACCCAGCCATACAGTCACAGTGAGCTGTGACTATTCCCCCACATTAACAAAATAATGTAAGAGAAGTCTTTTTTACTGAGGTAAAAAGGTCTGTTCCAGCCTATTTACGGCATTAGTGTACTGTTGTGATCAGTTTTGCTTTGTTACAAACCGGAGAAATCCACTTTCGGCTCTCCAACTGAATTTCGCGCCTCAACCGGGTCACGTGTCTGAAAGCCAGCAATATGTAGTTAAACCTCTTTACCTTCCAGCTTTTAGCTTCATCCAGGGGAGACAGCGAGAAGGTGCAGTCAGAGCTCGGCAGGCTGCAAGCAGAAAATGAGTCTGCTAAAACTGAGGTGAAGGAGGTGCTTCAGGCTCTGGAGGAGCTGGCTGTAAACTTCGACCAGAAAAGCCTGGAGGTCGAGGAGAAAAGCATGCAGAACAAGGTGCTGGCTGAAGAACTTGGAAAGAAGATGGTGAGTCTGAGTTTCTGGTGGAGTTGCAAGTATTTCATCCTGCAAAGTCGAAACGGGATGTTACGGAAATGAATCTGTCATGAAGTCACTCACTGAATATATATTGTATTGTAACATTTCTGAATGAAGTTAAACAGATATAGAGGAAATTAAATTTCAAACGTAAACAAAGAGAAAAAAGATGTTATGATACCAGCAACCATGAAACGATTTAAATTGAAAAACAAAAACATTTCTAAGAGGTGACGTCCATCCTGGATATCTGAAAACGCTGTCAAGTGCAACCAAAGAGGCCACCTACTGACTCTCCTGGACAGCTATAGACAGTTCTAGCAGAGCTTCTTGCTTCTTTAAAGTAAAACAAAATTTGAATATTGACACAGAAAGCTCTGTTTGTAGAGACATTCCCTCACATGCAATAAAGGTCTGGGTTAAAAGTCTTAATCAGCTGAAAAAGGATCCTATCAGAGTTAAATGATTTGAAACTGCATGCATGCCAGCCATGGTATGCATGATTGGCATATATTTTTTTTTTAACATTAAAATTATTATAATTATTATAATTAACCTGACATCATGACATTATAGGTCATGAACTACTCTACCTTCGGTATTTTCTTGTGGTGAAGTGAATTTAAGGCTTTCTCAGTGGTCAAGGTCCAAAATGGGAAAGTAGCAGATACCACCACCACAACCATTTTTCAGTCCACACAAAAAAGCTTTGGTGGCTCATCACTGCAGGAGCTGATGTATGTTTTACAAGTTGCTTTTAGTACATTTTTTAACCTCATGGAAAAACATAACAAGCAAATCTTTTCTCGGATATGACTGGGCTTTCAGCAATATGTGGCTGGGATAGTTCATTATAACCCATATAATTAAAATAAATGTTATGTCTTATTTTCTAACTTACTCTTGGTTTTCAGTTCTTCTAAAGCATTTTTTTTACAAAGTAGACCAGCTAATTTTTTCCTGAGATAACTACATCACAGATAAATAAATGTATTAAATAGAATAAAACTTTAGACAATTGAAAGAAGACATTCAAAAGTATTTTCTTAGCAGGTTTATTGTGATTTAATGTTCCAGTAGCCATTTTTTGATGGTCTCGTCTCGGACTCGACCACATTCGCTCTCGGTCTTGGTACACTCTATAGTCTTGGTCTTGTCTTGTTTCTCAGGTTCGGTGGTCTTGACTACAACACTGTAGAAATGCACCTCAAGCGAAAAACAAATATTAATGTCAATAAAGTGGCCCAGGAGAGGAAGCAAAGCCTTAATTCAGTTATTATGACCTACTTTGTGAACCGAGTGAACCTTCGCCGCCGTATTAAAGCCTCTTCAATATTTCATACTGTTTTACAGTCTGCCAGACAGCCATCACTTCTATCCCTGACTTTCTCAGAAACCAATCCAAGAACTGATGAAAGGAGCTGACAACATAACGATGCTGTGTGCAGTTTAGTTCAAACTCAGCTGGCTCTGCAATTTGTCCCCAATCATTTCACTTAGCACAACTTCTCCTTTACACTGTGCTCTGTCGATACCTCTCAGCTGACAGGGAGTCTTCACAGGAACATCTGCCAGCAGTCTGATAGACGAATACGTGCCATAAAAATTACTTTACTTCACAGTGACAAAGCTTTTCCTCGCCTTCATTCTGCATCTTTAGGGCAACTTTTTATTATTATATGAAAAGCATGACTTTGTGACAAACATCTATCATTTGACTTTCTCTTTGGTTTTCTTCAATTGAAACTCCTCTTTTGTTCTGCATGTGGCCATCATTCAACATCACTGAATTCATGCGCTCCTTGATGCACCTTCTTTCATCCATCTAACCACTTAAGCTCAGTTTCATTTACTCTATCCATCACTTCAACAGGCTTCTCTTGACTATCTCTTCATAAATCTTTCTTTAGATAAGCTGAATAGTTTTATTACCCTTTCCATCTTCATTCTTTTTATTTATCCTTGAAGAAATAATCTCAGGTTAATGCTCATAAGTTGAAGTTTGCCTGGAGAGATGACCTTTAAAGGATAACAATGTTACGTTAATGGGGGAGATGAAGACTAAAAAACAACTGAGATTGTGGATTTTCACCATTTGCATGGTGATGTGTGTAACATCGGGCTGAGTAGATGGCATGCTGTTTTTAAAGGAGCATCAGCCTGTATATGTGCATAATACTTTAGGGTATGAATGGTATGCACCCACCGAGACTAAGTAGTGTGTAATTGGTAAATAAAGTCGGTCTATTTTTACTTACTCACACACTTGTGTTGTAAGCGCTTAACCGCAACAAACCCTGTGCAGTATCTAATTGCTATAGATAGAAACACATAAATATGTCTGGTATGTGTGTTTCATACAACTGAAGAGAGAGACTCCTCGCCTGACGGCTTATGAGCCGCCCAGTCGGCAGGCAGAAAAAGAGCAAGCCCAATGTGGTTGACAAAGTCACGCAAGAAATTAAAAATAACTAAATTTATTCTAAAAAAAAAGATGGAAAAAATGAATGTGAGACAGTGGATTTTATAAACAGGAGGCACTTGTTTTCACATGTGCTTATTCCTAGTTAAACCTGGTTCACATTGTAAAATAAACATGGCAAGTTTTCAATTGATCTTTCCATTTCAACAATCTCATAAATGTACCAACTCGAAAGACACTATTTGAAAAAATTAATTTATCCAATTCAATTCAGTAAATAAAATAGATTAATTGAAGTTAATTACTTCCAGTTTAGACAAATAATGGTTTATAGTCAATGAAAATTTCAAAGTATAGTTCTCAAAAAGTTGAAAATACTGTACATAACATCAATAACAATTATTTATTTTTGAAAAAAATGATACAAAATAGCCATGTGATAACCTCCACACTGATGGGGAGGAATGCTGAGACAGTTTTCTTGCAGACAGTCATTGAAGCGCCTCACAAAGTAGAAGCCAAAAAAGGTCAATGCTGAACAAGGTGGCTTTTCACAGACTGCTGTGTCCAGGCATTATTAAATGAAAGCTGACTGGAGGGAACAAGTGTGGTAGAGAAAGGTCCACAAGTAACAAGGATAACAACAGCCTTAAGACGATTGAGAAACAAAATCCATTCAAGAATTTGTGGGAAGATTTGCCAGGCTTAGCGTCAGAGTTTCAAGAGCTGCCTCACACAGACTAATCCAGGATGGGTTGTCAACGCCGACATATAAGCAGGACATTTTAGACCATTTCAAGTTTCCATCGACTGACAAGCTTTATGGAAATTCAGATTTCCATTGCTAGAAGGACTTGGCACCTTCCCAATCTGTCAAAAAGCACCAGTACTTGTTTTATTCATAATATTACTGTGATTGATTTGTCTGCAAACTGGCTTAAGCTAAACTGTGTCAAGAAGAAAGATGAGCGAAACCAGACTCAACAATACCGATGAGCTGAAGCCATTATTAAAGCAACCCGGGCTTTATTGACACTGCAGCAGAGCCGAAGTCTGCAGAAAATCACAGGATGCAGAAATTTAAAAATAGCTCCAAACAAATATTTACACCTTATACAGTATCGTGCACAACCAACATTTCTCTATGAGCTTTTTTTATTGTCCTATATAATTCAGAAATTTTCTGGAAAGACTAACTGGTTCGTTCTTGTTACATTAGGTCATAATGATCATAATCAACACTTCGAAATACATAATTCTGTGACATAAATTAAGTTTTGGTGCTATTATGAATCATGTAAATGATGCACAGTTCAGACATGTTGTCATTTGCAGTTTCTTTGCTAATGTCAAGTGAAATCAGATCAATTGTTGCTTGGATAGTTTAGTCCAGTCTCTGATCTTACTGATTAAATGCAGGTTATAAAAATGCATCTTGGGCATGGTGTGGTGGTGTAGGGGATAGATCAACCAACATTTGGAGGCCTGGAGTCCTCGACGCGGCCGTCACGGGTTCGACTCCCGGACCCAACAATATTTGCTGCATGTCTTCCCCCCTTTCCTGTCAGTCTACTGTCATATGAGGGACACTAGAGTCTGCAACAAATCCCCTGGAGGGTAAAAAATGCATCCTGATAACAAAAACAAAACAATAAAACATGGAGCACATTTTATTTGAGCCAGTTCAAATAATATTCTTCAGATTCACCGCAGACAGTTTTCTAACTGAGCAACACAACCATACACAGAAATGAATACTTATAAAATTATCTTACAAACAAATATCTGAAATGTGTGGCATGAAATTGTATTCCAGTACTATTTTCTGTTAAAATAAAACGTTAAAAATGTTCTGTGTAATTGTACATCCACAGTTATGCATTACTTTGTGCTGAGCTATTCTAAAAGATCTCAGTGAAATACATGGAAATTGGAAGTTGCTATGTATCAGAGTGAGGAAAAGGTGAAGACTGAATATTTTTACAATGAATGTTCTCTGCATACAAAATGTAGGACCAAGTGTTCTCAAAGTAGCTGGATATTGCATGAAAACAGGCATGTTTTCACACTTTCATGAATCATTTGAACTCACATAAATAATAAAATGTCAGGTTTGCTGACTAACATTGCAAACTGGCTTTGTATTTTTGGAATGAAGCATCTGTTTAACACTGCCTGGCAACTTTTTCTGTTTATGGCACAAGGATATTTTTGCATCTCAACAGATGGAGAAAGAGAGAGAGCACACCAGACTGATAAATGTTGGCATCAAGTGATAGGTTGTGTTTCACATATTTAAATGCTTTTTTTTTTCCAAGTCAGGGAGGTTCAGGAGATGCTTGATTAAGGTGTTTGATGTCAATCTACCAGGAGACTGAAGAAGACCAGAATCAGATTGGAGAGATTTATTTGCTTACTTTAAACCACCCAAGCAAGTCGTTTAAACATGCAAAACCTCTGGTAAACCAGATGAGTAGAAACGTTAATCACCAAATACTTGACAGTGATAATCGTCTCACAGTTCAAAAATGCAAACTAAATAAATCCTTATGACAACAACCTTTAACCATATGACCATCTCACAGGTGCAGATCTAAAGCAATGAATTAACAATACGAAAACAAGTGCAGGATATATAAGAGCTTCTCTAAGGATGTAAATCCTTCTGCCTTCAAGCTCAATTAATGCAAATCTGCACTTCTTTAAGTTCTTTGAGAACTGGAGTAGAGATGAAATGTGAGAGACAGATAAAAGTTTAAAGGGCTAAACTTTAAAAAGTTCCTCTCTTTATTTACTTCTTGAATAAAATCCTTTTTCTCAAGCACATGTCCTCTACTTGCACTCACTGCCTTGGCATCCCTCCTCTCTTCCAACAGGCTCACCTCAGGGCTTTAGAGGCAGAGCTGTCCCGCATGCAGGAGGTGAGCAGCCACCAAAGAAAACGCATCGCTGAGGTTCTCAACGGCCTCATGAGGGACCTGCGCGAGTTCAGCACTATAGTTGGAAGCCGGGAAATCAAGCTGGTGAGAAACAAAACAACCGTATTTATGGCTCAAATGAGATCTGCAAGATCTGTTGAATCTTTCTACATTTCTAGTTAAGAATACCATGTTATTGACTTCTCAATACAAATGTTATATTCTTTACGTTTGTGAAATGGAAGAGTGGATCTGAATTTGCTGAAGCTCATACCTGTCCTGAATAGGTTTATTTCCACATGCTGAGTAGTGAGTAATCACTAGATCTTGCTACAGAAATTTATTTAATGATGGGGCTGCTAACATGGACTTGATTTTTTTATATAAAATAAAATATTTGAAGTTCCTTTCTTTTTTATTGTGTTTCTTGAGGACAAAGTGGATTAAAACTACAAACCTAAAGGCATTTTTTGGTGGATTTTAAGAGAAAGGAGATGCATGATTTTCAAAGCATTACATCAATAAAAAGTTGTACTCAACACAGAGTTGCCCTTTTACTCTAATGCCCTGAATAATTTTAGTCATTGTTCATTATGTGGAAGAAGCTACTCAAATTGAAAAACAGCAGAGGTAGACCTCAGAAAATGTTAATATTTAAAAAATTCTTCACACATTTATATTTTTATTTGTAAAGTATTTTGAAAAACGTGTCAATTTTCTTCCAATTTACAAATATACTCTGTATTGTAGTGGATTGACACATAAAATCCCTAAAATATAGATTTTAATTAATTAATGGTTATAACATGACAAAATGATGTTTGTTGAAGTGCGATTCAGACATGCTAAAATTATTTACAAAGAGCAATTTACGGACCTTTGCGGTAGAATCAGTAGGATTTGAGACATTTATACTGATGTGAACAATTCTCTAATCCTATACAGTCCGCTACTAACCTGCTGAGTCACAGCATCTGCTAAATGATGCTCTTAATCAAATGTTCATGTGCAAAAGATGCCAGAAAGCGTCTTTCCTTTTCCCCCGCTTCTTCCTATAATTTCCCAGCCGTCTTTAAATTGTCGCCACTCAATCTTGATAAAACATCAACTCTGCTAGTTTCTCAACAGCCTCTTCTGCTGTGTGCCTTATTTATCCCCAGCCTGTGGAGATCACTGGTGCGATCGAGGAGGAGTTCACAGTGGCTCGGCTCTACATCAGCAAGATTAAGTCAGAGGTTAAGTCCATGGTGAAGCGCTGCCGACACCTGGAGAACCTCCAAACAGAATGCAACCGAAAGATGGAGGAAACTGGCAGAGAGCTGTCGTCATGCCACCTCCTCATCTCACAGGTGCAGATCTAAAGTAATGAATCAGTTGTTGTTTGTTACCGAGGAAACAAAGAGCATCCGGATGAGAAAAGAAGCGTGTCAAGCATAGAAATACCGTGTTATTGTTGAAAAATGAGGAGAACAGATATAGGAACCTCAAATAGCACATTACCGATGATCATTATCATTATCTTTCAAGCATACTCTTCTATCAGTTTAATTATCATTTAGCATAGTGGGCCATTGTTGCGACTAAATTACTCTGATGAAAGGCAATTCATGCTTTGTAGCATTTTTACTTGTTTGTGGAGATTTCAGATGCATTTTAGGTCTCACCTTTATTTGTGCATGTAGTCCTGATTGTAAAGTGTGGCATATTTTATATTCTGTCTGTGACTGAGGCTGCCTTCAGGCATGAGGAGGTAAATTTTACTATCTTTGGTGTTTAAACTAAATTCCCTAATGGCTGGGGCTCATAAATATTTAATGTCAGTACATTCATTCAGCTTAGAAGGAGAATTCCTCATCTTTAGTGCAGGGTTCTCATGGGTAAAGGTTGGGGGTTTTCTATTCATCTTTAAACTTTTTGATTCACGTTGTGACGTTCAGCATGAGGCAAAGATTCGCTCTCTGACGGACTACATGCAGAATGTGGAGCTGAAGAAGCGACAGCTGGAGGACAGCTATGATTCTCTGACTGAGGAGATCGCCAACCTCAGAGCTCAAGGTACAGCTGAGTATTACCTTAATCCCTGTGGCTTTCAGGTAATACCACAGGTATTACCTGATATGACTGACATGATATTTTTAAATAAAAAAATAGCATAAACATAAAACTTAAATGAAAGACAGAGCCTTCAGCTCTGTGAGGCTCAGAGTTGACCAACACGACCAGCATAAAATCGTGCTGGATTTTATTTCTACCTTACTAACTTACATTTGATTTTGAAAAAATATTATAGTTTCTTATTTTAAAAAAAATACTACAGTAACTAGTATAATTTTAAAAGTTAACTTTTTCATGTTAAACACAACAGACACAAAATTTGGATTTTGATTGTTTCCTGTCACAATGCTGAAGGAGTATAATGGCAGATTGTCAGAATCAGCATGTGCCCTTTGTGTAAAATGCTGTTAAAATATCAGAAATTAAATGTTTTCTTGCACTCCTGATGGTTTCTAGCTCACTAAATAAAACCGTGTTTAGCTCATCCTAAAAAAAATATATATATTTTCACCTCTTAATTCTGAAAGTTAGTAGCCTGGTTGCTAATTACAACATTTGGCAAATTTCACTGCTTTTCCAACTTGTAGGTGTAATACAGTACATTTGGTGAGTCATTTTGAAATGGATTATCTTGCTTTCTTGACAAATGAAATGCAGCTTAAAATCCAAAGGTGGACCTAAAATCTTTGATAAGCTGCTACTTTCACATCTTGAAAAACTTTAAGTCTGTCAAAATAGCAAAATAAAGTAAATGTGACTTAAGTTTTTGTAATGCCTATTTTTTAACTAATCGACTTTGAAAAAGTCATTTGTGAATTACTTGTTTTGTTTGGCAAAGTGACCACTCTAATGTCAGAGAAACAACAGAACATGCTGTTCAGCAGAAGCTGAGCGATCAGGAAATGTACAAAGAAACACTCACTTAAAACTAAGAGATATCTGCTGTCAAAACAATGATCACAAAATGTATTTACAGAAAAATCTCTGCATCCTTATCCCATAATATCTTGTTTTTTTTTTATCTGAACTATGTGGTGCAATAAGCCATTTAAAGCAATATTTCCAATAAGATTGAATCACTTGGAAAAAAAATTGTCTGTGTATGAAGTTTTTGAGAGCTCTTACATTTTTAAGGACTACTTTAAAAATATCTCTGAAAATATTTAATGTCCATCTGAAATGACATTTATGATTTCTTTCACTCGTCAAAAAAAGCTGCGGGTTGAGTGCCCAGACACTAATTTAATCTTCCATTTAGAGTGAAACTGGAGGAGATGGTTTATCAACTGTCTCACTGGTTTCTGCCAAGGCAGAAAGTAGCTGCCAGGGCTGCGCATGTGGAGTGGTACCGGCATTGTCTGAAGCCATGGCTCTGCTTTATTAGTTTGGTTAATGACGAGCTCATATCCTAATCAATGATTATGGCTCTGAACGTGATGTGTTTCTTAATGAGCAATGATGATTGGCTTAGCTGAACATGGCATTAAACCTTTGGCAATCCCCTCTCCATTCAGTATTTCTAATCTATCAGACTGTGAGACGTTTTTAACACTGTTTACAGAGCAGAATAGTAGCTGAAGTAAACAAATATGGATCGTAGCAAATGTGAATTTGCAGTTAAACTCAATGTAAATCCAGCAATCTGACACAGGGCTACCTCCAGTAGTTATATATGATATACAAATAAGAAACCTGTTTGCAAATCTGCAGTTTTCTGAAACGTTTAAACTAACTTGTTTTTGCATCAACAATTTTACTTTGAACCACTTTTTCTGATGCGTTGAACTTAATCGAGTCATTCATCACATCTAAAGGCCAAAAAGCACTAAGTTGCTGCCAGGTGACTAGCTGATTGCTATTTTTGATAAAACGCAATGGAACATTGATACACCAGAGGAAGATTGGTGTATTTATGAACTCTGAACTGGTGGGTCTAACTTTTCGTAAAAAATATAAGACAGACCCACTTCTGACTTCTATTTAGGAAGCAGGAGAAATGAGGTGAAATACACACTTAGCAAGACATATTACAATGTTGCAAGAAGCAACAAATCTTTCATCCTGTTGGAAGAAAACTTATCCTTGTTTGGTGTAAATATTAAGCGATTTTATTTGACATTCCATATTTCTCCTGTGAAGGACAAAGGACCGCTCCAGTTTGCAAATCATGATGAATTGCAGACGCTTGCCAAAGTCAAATGTTAAGGTCAGCGTTCTGAAACAGTCGAAAGTAATCCCGTCTCAGCAAAATTAATGAGCAGGAAACAACAAAACAATCTGTGTTTCGGGGCGACCAAGGTGAATTGTGGAGAAATCGACTTCCTGTTAAAAACTGTTGTTTGCTTCAGTGGAGCATTTTATTCTGTCATCATTTTTTTTATGTTGTTGAGGACAAGAAAAATAAAGCTAAATAAACATTTCCCTTGTCCAGGACAAAAAGATTAATGGAACATTTGAAATTTGTGCAGGGTGCAGCTAGCTGCTGCTGCTACTTCCAGTGCTCTGACACAATTCACAAATCAGGCCAGAGGCAATGTAAGTCATTCTTTCTTTGGATTCCCAGAGAAGTGAATTAAATAACTAGTGGGTTTAAGAACTTGTAAATTCATTTTGGTTGTACTCAATAAGCCAGGCAGACGGGGATAGAAGCAGTTGACAAATACAAAGTCCATGTTGATTGCATTGCCTGGAGCAAGGTGCAGAGCTCAGTGCTTTCATCAGACAACAGGGAGTCAATATCTGGTTAGCGTGATCCAAAGATTTAATTTAAAACTGTATATCTTCCTAATGAAAGCATGACTGATGTCAGCATGATTATCCTTTAATGATTGGCTGTCAGGTCACAGTGGGAATAAAACTGTTATGTGACTCACATTATCACCATGTCAACCTCCTTTCTTGTGTTTTCTCATATTTTCTCACTCTTTCCTTTGTCATTTGATCTAAAACTGCTTGTTTCAGAAAGCATGTCACAGATGACCAATGGGGAGAACAACACATCTCTCCACAATCTATCTGAGATGAAGGTAACTATGACAAGAGTAATAGCAATTTCATATACCATGTTTATTATTATTACAGCACCTAAGCACTTGGGTAAATGCAGGTGTTTACAAAGTATTTTTTCTATTGAGCCATGAATCCACACATCATGGTGCATTCTCGTATTTTCCAGCACCGGAACAAATCAAATGATGAAGTTGCTTCAAACAGAGGAAGAAAGGATTCCTTTGATTTCAGGGCAGTTTGGATAAATTTGACAAAAGATAGAAATTGTAATTTAAGTTTTTTTCCAATCCTGTTAAATATGGAAAGGCATCTCAATTGTGGAAAAAAAATGTTAGCAGAGTATTTCTAACTCTGCTAACATGCATCTGGCCTATTTGATCAGTGGTCATTTTATTAGGTACACTTTCTAGTTCCAGGTTCTTTATTTTCAAAACGGTCATAATTCTTCACATTATGAATTCAATGAAACGTAATCTTTTAAAAGTGATAGTATCACGATTTGTCAGCTGCACATCCTGGAATTTCATTTACATATATTCCAGGTTTGGAAATGCACAAATAAAAGAAAAATCAGTTTTTAAAGTTATATTCTCTGCTTCACTGACAAAATTTTGCATTCATCCAACATTATGAAGAGCCTAGAATGAATGATGAACTTTGTTTATTTAACCCTGGAACAGTGAAACATTTTGTCATAAAAAGCTCGTAGGAACCCTTCATCCCACATCATGTTGCTCTCTCTCCTTTGTGAGGAAGTGTTTGCACTCACTTTGTTGGTCTTTTTTCTTTCTTGTTGCGACTCCTCAGAGAGCTCTGGAGGAGCAGATGAAGTCGCACCGTGAAGCCCAAAGCAAGCAGCTTGGCCGCCTTCGAGACGAGATCAATGAGAAACAGAAGACCATTGATGAATTAACAGAGTTTGTACTTCTTTCAGTTTACTTTAATACACATTCGGTTTTCACTTTCACTCCTTTGATGACAAGACAAGAACATACAAATGTGAGCATAACGTTTTTTGGGTTTTTTTGTTGTTATTTTCACCAAATAATGTCCAGCATACTTCACAGTATTTTATAGACTGTTTTGCATGTCAGGCAGTACATTAAATGTTTTCTAAAACATGCAAATGAAAATATAAAATATAAATAAATAAGTATGCATTCTGAATTTCACAAAAAAATTTAGAGATATATATCTATGCTTCCTTTTATCAATCATCTGTGTAGCTGAGGCATCAGATCTGGAGGGGTAACTCAGACATCCAGATAGTGACAAGCTTCCTTGTCTGAAGGGATGAACACGCAGTTTAGTGTTAGTTCCTGGTCTGCTGTGGTGTTTTCCTGCAGTGGCATGTGCCTGGATGCCCTCCAATGCAGCATCAGCATTACTGCAGGCACCCAAGAGTGCTCCTTATGTAACTGAACCAGCTCAGATGACTTCTTAAGAAGGAATGGAGCAGCAATTCTCCTCCAAGCTGCCCCCTGGTTGATGGACCTCCTTAGTTTATAGGCTGAGCCCAGCCTTCCTACTGCTGAAGCTCATTTCAGCCATTTGCATTCTGGATCTATTTTCTCACCATGGCAGAATGAGGCATCATTTTCGCTAGAGAAAGTTTGGTCCTAATCCGTCTATCATCCTAACATCATCAACATGGAAGGAGTTGTCATCATTTTCTTTCTTTTTGAGAACCATTCTTTCAGGATAAAAAAACTTGACTTCAGCAGCTTCACTCTGCTGCAAATCACTCCAGTGGCTCATCTGCACAAAGAAAACACAAGGCCATAAGGTCCAATCCTAAGTACAAGCTGGACTTTGTGCCAAAAATATTGGCACTCCACTTTGTTGGGGTCAAATCAAGTTCCCAAGAGCTATTATCCTGCAAATTTTAGTTTCATCCTTTCTGCAGCATATCCTAATCAAATGAATTGATTGTTACTTGGCCTCTGTGGAACCAAATGGCTGCTTATTAAGTAATTTTATACGCAGCCATTAGTTCAAGTTGGTAGGAGAAGGAGTGCACCCAGATGCACCTAGCTGTCCCTAAAAGGTATTTCCACAGAACAGATTTGGGCCATTTGTTACCAAAACTTATCATACTAGAATTATGAAAAGCTACACAATTATAATATTAATTAGCAAATCTCCTTGTTTTCAATTTTTTAACTTTTACCAGGTCCATTTGGGTTTAATATTAGTCCCTGATATAGATTCAAATTGTTGAGGTATATATAGGTTTAAAAATTTGAAAATCTTAAAAATTCTGTTTTTGTTTGCATCTTCTTTCCCAAACTAACCATTATTAATTAGAAGGCAAAATATTCAAACAGTATAGATTAAATAGTTTTAGCTGAATTCTTAGAAGATCTAAGCCGTCACCACAAGACATAAAGATGTGGGTGGCAAACAAAGCTGTGGAGTAGGAAGACATTGGAGCTTAGCTGTTTCTACCAAACCTCCGCATGAAGAGCCACTTGTCTGACTCAGCCTGTATGTGAAAATAGCTGTCCCTTTAGGTGCCTGAAACTGACGATGTACTATACTAAGCATGACCGCCCAGAAGGAGCTGCAGACACCATCAAAGAACTGAAGCACACATCGCAGCTGGCCTCAGAGTAACCCACTACCCCCAAACGAAGAGATGTGAAGAAACACACATTTGGTACAGATCTGCTTATCCTGCTTTCACAGTCTGAATTTGGATAAGCAGCTTGGAATTGATTGATGGGTGATATTGAGGCCGAATGGATGTGAAAAAAAAAAAAAGAGAGACTCCCTGCAGATCCTTTTATTAAAACAGGGGCAAGTTGGTGCAGATGTCTTTTTTTTGTGTGTTTCGTATTTCAAAGATGAAAGGAATAGAGAAAAAACAGAATACCTTAAGATAAAACAGGCATATAAAGATGTGTAAAAAGGTTTATTGGTAAATATTTTTAATATTGAGAAGGGAATTTTAGTAGTTTAGTCTTGACCTGATTCTATCCAGAGGCCAGTCAATCAGCCCCTGTTTGCTGTCAAAGTGCCCGTCAAGGTTATGTAGCCCTGCTGTGAATTTTAATCTTCCCACCACCACCAAAAACTCATTTTTTGCTGGTTATCACTAAACTGAGCCCAGAAGTGCCTCAGACCATGACCAGAGCAGTTATTTTCTCATTTGATGCAAAGACATGTGGCAATGCCAGGCAAAATGTTTTACCTTAAAGTGGTCAAGGAATATCTTGGAACAGATCCTCTGCATTTCAAATTTGCCTGTTTCTCTCTTAAATCCCTCAAATAACCAAATTCATTGTATTTAACTTTATTAAATGCAAAACAGTTGTCATATGAACGTTAAATTCATCAAAGGAAGAAAGTTGGTTCTTATGTTAAAAAGTAATTGTTCTCCAAACTTAATAGATTACATTAAGCAACATAAAATATGAGAATCACTTTGCTGCAGCACAGCATGATGCAGAGAAGTAGAGGAAAGTGAGCTATAATACAGCTTCCTGTTTCTGCTTTCTATTCTGGAAAAGCTGTTAAAGTGCAAAACATCAGTTTGCCGGCCCTAACCTGATCCGTTTTCAACTTTTTCAGCTGCAACCAGAAGCAGCAGCTGGAGTTGGAGCAACTGCATGGCGACTTTGAATGTCTCAGAAGTCGAGAGCATCACAAGAGCCGGCAGCTGGAGGAACTGACGTGAGTCTCTTCTTTACTGTCCTGGCCGACTTTCAGACACCTCGCCATATGGAGTCCTGGAGGCAAGCTGCCTCTTTAGATTCCCATCTTCCTGTTTTTTTTTTCTTTTTCATTTGTCTTCTGTTTTTCCTATTTTTTTCCAGCCACTCTACAGCTCTGTCAGTCTTTTTTATAGTGGATGATTCTAGCAGTGAACACTTTTTGCACCATTTTCTTGCATCGCGTCCATCTTCCTGTCCAACCCATTTTGCATCGCCATTAGAGTTTCTGTTAATAAGGTAGCAGCTGGTTGTTAAGGGTCCCTTTCTACATTGACCTTTGCAGCATATTGCATCAGATGGCAGATGGGCAACACCCCCATGAGTGTAGCAGCCGGTCTATGCTCCCTTTGTTCTCCAGTCATGAATTATTCTGATCTGAATGAGGTAATCATTTGGGTAAAGACAAGTTCAGTTTTCAGATGTTCTGTCTGGTCATCTTCCTGTCTATGTATAGATTTCTCTGCGAACGGCATGAGCAGTCAAAGCAGGACCTGAAAGGACTGGAGGAGACTGTTGTAAGTCATTATTTACTGTCACGGTTTGATAAACTGCCTTCAGGAGCTGCCAATCCAATTACAGCTCCACTAAACAGCCAATTTACTCATTTCCTCCTTTTGTAGGCCCGTGAACTCTACACCCTGCACAACCTCCGCAAGCTCTTTGTTCAAGACCTCACGACCCGAGTCAGAAAGGTAAGGCAAACAAGACAGAATGGTCTTAAAAGTCCTGACAATCCAGCATTTTCAAAAGCAGCAATTTCTGTAACGCAGTTTTGACAAATGTCTCTTTTTTTGTGTTATTTCGACAGTGTACAGAGCTTGAACCTAATGATACCGGAGGATTTATCACTCAAAAACAAAAGATTTCCTTTCTTGAAAACAACTTGGAGCAACTTAGTAAAGTTCACAAACAGGTAACTCAAGTGAGATATTTGAGAAAACAGAAAATATTTCACTACAAAGTTTCCTGACTGAACCCAGGAAGCTGGATCAGCCAGCAATATAACAGAAGAAAAGTTTAGATCAACAAATAGTCATGTGCAAAAAGGACCCAGTTAAAATGTAGATCCAATTGAGAATTTGCAGCAGAACTTGCACATTATTGTTTATAGACACTATTCAGTCAATCCTGTCCAACATTTAAGTTTTATAATTGACTATTACTTTATTGACATTTGGGTTTAAAGGATGAACTGGGGTGAACTGCTGAATTCTGCTAAATAAAATAAAAGCAACATTTGCAACATCAATGTTCAGCATAATTAAACAGAGCAAGTTAGGCATTAAAAGTTATCATTTTTAGAAAAAATAAACTGTAAGATAAAATTACAATTTGAAAATCTGCCTTTGTTCAGATTTTGTACAGAACAAATGGACATACACACACAAACTCACGTCCCATCTTGTTTAATATTCCTAAATGTACCATTGCAGAACACTAAGTGGTGATCTGCTAAACGTTTTGCAGACTGGCAGAATATTTTGAGGCTGGCAGATTGGTATGAGCTGCACTGCATCAGTTTGTCAGGCTGAAAACCAATCCCGAGGATACTGCTGGGGGTCTCAATCCCATCCTCTACCTGCTGGCACGGTGCAGATGGAAAAAAAAAAAAAGCTAAGGTCGTAAATCAGCAAGCTCCCCAAGGAGCATGATAAGACTTTCAAAGAGAGTGTGGGACAGTGGTAGATTTAATCATCCATCTGTCCGTCTAGCTGATTTCTCTTACAACATCCCTGGGCTCCTGTGGGAGTCTTTGCTCTGTTCGTCTTTGTTTTCTTTTAAAATGATTCACAGACAAGCAATAAACTCCTACAGCTGAGCCTAAGGTCAATTAACTGACTTATTGGATGTTTTGCCTATTGGCCAAGTTTGCTTGCATGAAAAACCCCCTAATTCAGAATCTCTGCAGGATGGAGATTAGATTGCGTGATCACGTTCTGGCAGAGTGTCACTGTTTAAAGGCTCGGTCATTTTCTTTCCCAAAGAAAACTGCATAGAGCAGCAATTAAGGTGCAGAATAATATCCACATACATTTTGCTTTATGAGGTTAAACAACTATCATCTGTTTTACCACATTATTTGTTACACTGTTTTATGAAGAAGTTGTTGAAGCTGACTGGCCTTTAAAAAAATGACCATATTACATAAACAGTTACACTTTTAAATTGAAATAAAATAATCTGTTGAAAAGATTGTAAATTAACTACCAAGCATAGATTCATGATTATTTGGTTTGTAAATAAAGGACCTTCCCTCCACAATCACTGGTAAATAAATTGTAAAAGGCACTAAAATAGATTCACTTTTTTTTTAATCAAAATAGTTTCTACACTGTTAGAAAACTAATGCCACTTTTTGATCCCTTTAACCAGCATAAAACCCTCTATGGCAACCAGTTGTTTGAAAGCCATGTCAATATAAAGCTTTTATTTAATTTAACCATCTTTACTGTGAATTTGACTAGAACATGAATTTGAAATGACACTAAAGTTTAGCTTTCAGTGATATACACTTCAAGTGTGTTTAAAAATGAAAGGATGATTTTGTGAGAACAAATATTGTCTAGTTTTAGGAACAGTGAAGGATCTGTGATTCTGTGGGTCTTTTTTTTCTCAAAGATTGAAAATCATGTTTGAGGACATTTTATGTGAAATTTTTGACATATAAAGAGTTTAAAATAAAAATTATTTTGCAAGATAATGATCCTATAGCCAATTCAACAGAACAATAGTTGAACAAATAGAAAAACAACCTTCTTTCATCACAAACCCATCCTGAGACGTATTTCCTATTTAAAACCCCTGTGGAGTGAGCTGAAGAACAGAAAATAAAAGAGCAAATGTAAGTGATACTCAGAGAGACTGTGAAGAAGGGATCCCACTTTCTGTATCCTCCAACCTTGTAAAATACTACAGAGGAAGATGAAATACTGTCCAGTTCATAAAGGGGGTTTGTATAAAATATATGAATTTAAAGTGTAGCTATAAATGTGGCTGTGATGTTGCTAAAATGTGTTTTTCCTGCTGTGGAAATTTTTCCTCATGAAATAAAATGAATTTTTAGTTTAAGACTGAGCTGCTGAAAGACTAGATAATGAACAGTTATTTAACAAGTTCATCCCAAATTTAAGTTTCTCTATATGACTGCATGTCATGTTAGGAAGAACCGATTTATAGTGTCTTCATTAACTCATAAAATATAGATTGAGCTAAAAAGTGAAAATATTGTGGTTAAATAATTAAAATCGTGTTTAATCCTTTGTATTTAAAACCTTGTTGAAAAGGATGGAGCACTGTTCAGAGCAGCATGTTGTCAACAAAGCATGGTTTACTTTCACAAGTTTGTAATCATTATATTGTTACTCTAATCTAAAAGTTAAACAGGTTTTAAAGATTCTGTCATCTTAAAGATCAAATCAATTCCATTGTGAGCTCTACGTCACAGAGAAAGGCAAGAGTATCAATCCTGATTGTCAGTCCAAGTGTGGTTAATTTTTTGACATGGGTTACAGCTGGTACGCGACAACGCAGATCTTCGCTGTGAGCTTCCGAAACTGGAGAAACGTCTCCGCTCTACCGCCGAGCGAGTTAAAGCACTGGAGGGAGCGTTGAAGGAGGCGAAGGAGGGGGCCATGAAGGACCGCCAGCGCTACCAGCAGGAGGTGGAGCGAATCAAGGATGTGATGAGGCGCAATCCTTTCCGCCGCCCCCACGCTGCACAGATAGGTAACATCTGACCGCGACTATGAAATGACCCAGACTTTTCTCTATGCCTTGTTGCTGACCTTCTGCTCCAAATAGCACCATTTTTTGTGTGGTGTGCTGCATCTCAGTAAATATGCCCAAAAGGAACTACATCTTCCTTTAAAACTATCCGCTGAATATCCTGCAGTTATATTCATATACAACATGTAGACTATTGATTAATATTTTGTATATTAGGAGTCTCTATAGTGCCAAAGTCTTGTATTATCTAAAAAACTCTCCTGTGCTCTTCCTAAGGGACTGCTGCAGCTAATATTTCTTTAAACTTGGTATTGGATTAAATTATGCATTAATATGATTTTTTTGATCTTCAGACTAACAATTATCAGTCCCATTGTTTCTTTTCTCTGTAACCCAAACCCTTTCAGATGCAAAAGAAATGTTACTTACTGGTTTTCATGCTTCCTTTGATTACAGTATTTTGTTTGTCTTCACACACAAGGGAAGTTTAACAGCCTGAGATTTAATGTTTCCAACTTGACTAAAATTGGCAACAAATTGGAGACTCCAGAGGCAAACCTTAGCTTGCTCAATTAATTTAATTAACAAAATAATTCTTCAAAGAAACAGTAAAATGTTTGCCCCTCTGAGCATCTGTATAAAAGGCCTTCGTGTTCTTTAGTTAGAAATTTTACATAAACACGTGGAAAATCAAGACACAACGGAAATCATCCATAATTTTATATTCAACCCATATTAATTAATTTTATAGGAAGTTAACATTATACAGATTATTACTAAAATACAGTCTTATTTCCCTCAAGATGATTCTCTTTATATCGTCAGTTTTCCTTTGGTCCCTAACATTTAATTTCCCTCGCCTTCATTTCTCCGCCGCCTTTCCACGGCACTGAGTGGAATTGCTAACCTTGCTGCAACCATCCTTTTTATGTCGCTGCTCTGGCTTCCTCACAAACAACATTCCCAGTATGCTTTAGCTCCACTCGTTTGTCATCTCTCTCCTTCCTTTTCTAGATCACCTTTATTTGGTATGTGTGAGTGTGGTGCAGCAATTTTTGCTGAAGGTGGCTCTGAAACCAATCTGGTTTGGTACTCAGGAAACAGATGCACTTTAAAAACACATTTAGCTGAAGAAGATGTATTATGAGATGTTGATGTTTACCAAACTGAACAGTAGCGTTGTGCTCTTTGAGTTTTATAGGTTGCACAGACATGTGGCAATAATTGAAAAGTAGAAAACATCAAAGCTTGAAGAGGTTTAGCACTTACTGAAATATTCCCTCATGACAGGATTTACACTGTATGCATTTAAAGAGGAGAGCTGAAGCTTAGAAAAGCAGTATAATTTATTTTAATCACCAGCTCCCATCTTGAGCAGCTCAACCAAAGATAATTGCAATGAAATAATGAGAGGCACGCATACCTCTGCTGTGAGAAAACAAGATATTGATTTATGTGAGAGGTTTTAAAATGATGGTTTTCATTACAGGATTATGCCAAGCCAATTAAGAATTACCAAGAAGTTCTAAATTAACACATTCACAGCTTTCTAGAGACATTACAAACTTTTAGGAAACAAAATTTGTGTTTAGGATTTCTGGATGAATGCTGCAATCCGTGCATCAGTGGTCTGTTATTCCTTGCAGCCAAGCCTGTGCGTCCCGGCCACTACCCCCTCTATCCTCCCATCAACCACTTCTTCATCCGGGGCTACAGCGAAAACCCCGTCGCTTTCTGCAATGCCGGTTTCCAGAACAAAAACAACCAACCAGCAGCTCCCGTGGATGCTCCCCCAGAACATGACTCCGAGGCCAGATTACCTAACGATGAGTGCAACCAGAACAGTTCTGCAGAACTCCTCAACCCACAAAGTGACGATGACAGCGACACTCAGAACAACATGTGAATAAGCTCTATTTCCCATTTTGTAACTAGTTTTTTGATCTCTGACATTGTGATTTGAACTTATAATATTAGCTCACGTTTTAATTTGTGTAAATTTATAAGTCCTTCTTCTATGTATTGGTGGAGTTGCCATGATAATGTTTCAGTAATAAGCACAATTACAGGTTCTGAACACCGTCCTAAAAATATTTTATATCTTTCCAAGCAAATGAGTTTCTTTATTTAACCTTTAAGTACAAGTTTAAAGTTTGCTGTACACTTACAGAGAGGCAAATATTTCCAAACTGAAAAGTGAATGAGTTTTAGATGCAGCCCAACAATATTTATCTAAATTTATGTTCATCTTAACAAGAACAAATTGGTTTGGATTCTGAAACACAAAGGTTGTCATAAGGACGACAGCTTAGAAAATACCAGTTGCTGCACTCTATGTGTTTTTTACGTAAGAGAAAAAGAAGGGGAAATAATGATCTGCTGCTGTGGGGATTATGTCTACCTCATATTTAAGTAAATAATCTAATCAAAGTTTAATCAAAAAGAAGCCTCAGCGGTGTTAAAAATTCAATACTTTTTCTATTCAGACTGAAATCTGGATTACTGTGATTTGTGGTTGAAGAGAAAACAGCCGTGATTTGACGTAAATTAGTCACAGCTGCTGGACTTGATGGACATGTTTACGTCATGAACCGAATAAAGGATTAATAAAATTGCTGTTTGTGTAAATTGTTGTAAAAATGTTGAGGCTGTAACTTCTTTTTTTATGAGGGCAGAAATTCACTTTGGAACCAACAGCCTTAAGCTCAACTTTCCAGAGAGAAATTCTGCTTGATTTATTGGTCACATAACTTTCTACTGCCTGGAGGGTGTTGACTTCAAATAATACAAATGATTCATTTTATAGCTACAACCAGTTTTTCTTATTTGTTGTTTGATTTGAAGATGAATAGGAATGTTGTAACATATTTAACATAATTTTCTGTTTTGCTTCTTTTAGGCTTTCAGATGAAGCAGTAAGTGAAGCAGAGAAGTCTTCAGAAATGCTTGATTCAGAAAACGGTGAGCCTCCTACAAGTAAATCCTGCTAAAGCTATTAGTAACCCTGATCAGCAGGGGCTCAATTCACTTAAATTTATGGGTGTAATTTCCTTACACCCATTATGCCCTCATAGCAGTCATGAAATTCAGATGTTGTTTTATAAACTCTTACAAAGTGCAGATTGTTAAAACAGTTAACGGAAAATGTCCTGCTGCTCTTCATGTGTTTTTTTTTATTATTATTTCTGAGGGGGTAGGCAGATTTTAACTTGATGTGAATTTTGGAGGTTTTCACAATGTAGGTCAGAGTTATAAGGTTTCTACATTCTTACAAGATTAAGACTGTCATGTTTTAGGGTTTGCCAGAGAATGTGCAGCCAACTGTGAGATCCTCCTGCTGCCCGAAGATTTTGTCCGTCTTCATCTTCGTGTTTGTGTACGTGTGTTATCAGCGGCAGTCTCTGGGGGAGACAGATTAGGCTTGCAGTGTCATTACTCAGAGAAGCCGTCAGACAAGCTGGAGGACCAATTCAGCCTCTGACCCAGTCATGACAGTAGTTTGAGTTGTGCAACAACATCACACCACTTTGATTCACTGGGAATATCAATAAAAGTCACAAATGGCATTAGAATCAATTCATCAACATGCTGCAAGTGTTTATGCCTTTCATTAAACATCAGACCTGATCGCTGTTCTGCACAGAATCCTTCAGGGATCTAATCAGCATGGATTTAGTTTGTGCTGCTTGGAAGTAGCTGTGATGTTTTTGGTTTGTTTTTTCTTTATTTTTATTACCACAGTGGTTTGTATTCTGTTCAATTTATTTACCAGGTTAAACCTCTAAGGCTGCAGACCCTCTTTCCCCTCTAGTAATTTCCACTCTGGTACTTCAGTGTGATGAATTTCAATAAGAGCTTGTGGGAAAATGTGGTCAAATAGCTCCACAAAGGCTTCAACCCGAAGTTTTCCTCCTGCTTTTTTCCCATCTCTATGATGGAGCCTTGAAAGGTGATTTGCTCTGGCAGCAGACAATTTTTAGTACTTCTCACAATGCTTCAGTTTTGCATTTTTCTTCCTGAATATAAAGCCAGTGAAGCATGAGTTCTGATACAATTATTCACTAATTAAATCAACTTCCCTTTGTCCATCACGGGGAAGTTACGCTCAGTCTTTCTGCATCCTGAGCAACAGTCAAAGCGCTTTGTTACGTTCAGTTGTCGATATGTGTGTCAGGCTGCCAAGGGAAAGTTTTGTGAAATCAATTCTTGTCAGGAAAGCTCAGTGGTAGATTATAGGATTTAGTAATAAACTGGTTGCCAGCACTTAGAAGCATCTGGAAAATGGATTTAGATCAACAAACTGCACAGAGGATAAATATGGCCAGGAAAAAAAATCTCAATTTTCTATGTTGAGTGCTGTTCTGCTGCATTGATTGTTTGCCAGTAATGGACGTTTTTAAGAAGGATGTGCTTTTAATGAACATTTTAATGAAATTACGCTTTTGGAACCTGGATGGTTTCTGATATTTGCTGTACAAACAGAAATAGTGACAGCAATGATTCTCCTCTTGTTCAGGCAAGCCTAATGAAAGCAACGTATGAATGAAAACAACCAGGAATCACATTAGCATTCATCTTCATCTGCTCTGTGCTAAGCTTGTATTTGCATTTTGGTTAAATTCAGACATTAAAGTACCTCTTGGTCAGACCCACATTAACCAGAGGTTTGTTGTGCATCTGAGTCATTTTTATAGCTTTTTGTGCAGGAAAGGGTGCTCGTTTCATTTATATTCATAGTCTCTGTCCTGAAGTTTCATTCTAATCCTTTCTATAATTTGCATTGTCATAATGGCAGGAAGACCTAAACTGTGCAGAAATAATATTCAAAATATGATGCTCCTGCCTCTATTCACTAGCTTTTCTTGAGAAAAACTTGCATTTTATTGCTTTTTGTTGTTATATGAGCAAAACAATAGAAGAAAAATTGAGCTTTTTAAATGGTAATGAATAACATGAAGAGTGAAAGAATTATAGAAAATTCTGGATGATGATTGTAATTCATTTTTGACTATGATTTTAGTGTTTAAACAACCTTAAAAAGGCACATATATTCATACAGTATTTCCTCTTTCAGATGTGTTCAGGCTGCTACGTATTGATAAATACATTTTGATGAGAAATGACAAATAGGTAAACAATATTGTAAAAGACGATGGCAAGAACAATTAAAGAGAAAAAGATGTTAAAAAGTCGGTTACATTTTGAAATGGCATAACAATATCTCTCAAAAGCAAAAGTACTGAGAGAAATCTCTCTAGCTGGAATATTAGTTCATATTGTGAAAATATACCTCGCAATTTATCTTTTGTGGAAGTGAGATTTGTGTTTGGAGTGCTGTAGCTTGGGACCTAACAAACTGACACCATGTAAAAGTATTTAAAAGTGCCAGAAGATATGGACTGCTGCTTACCACTCAAACAGATTTAGCAATTTCTAAGGAAAGCCTGACTTTTCACATGATCAGTCTGTGTTTTTTCTCATGGTGCTTTAAATGCACCATAGAAATATAGGTTCAATTTTGATATTCTTAACACACCATCACCTCACTCAGTTCATCTAAAGGTAATTTGCTTTTTTTTTTTTTTGCAAGAACGTGTTTGTTTATCTCTTAAAAGTAAACTTCCACTCACTACAAGAATAGCTAATACTAATACAATTTGGAAAACAATGCTGGTTGTGACTTATTTATGGAACATAATTTCTAAAATGCTGTGATTCTTGCTTTGAAATACATTCTTTGCACTTTATCCAGAAGTAGAATAAAACAATTTTTCCTGATGTGTTTTTAATTGTATAAACTTAAAATAAAGCCTTACTGCAGCCTTAGTTGCTATTATATTTTATGCAGCTGCGTCAGTGGCTCTCACATGTAATATTTAAGTCTACATGTGTCTTTCGTAACCCCACTTCCTCCGAGTCATAACACCACCAAACTCCATTCACTGTGCACCTGTCTGTGTCCTTATGCACTGTTTCTGTCCACAGGAAACACCACAGATTTCAATGACAACCGGTAAGACTATGGTGAACCCAGTTTGTCTTCATGTTCTGATTGCACTTGTACATGAAAGACATGCAACATATCAGCTCTGAAATGCCTTCCTCACCGTTACATCTCCCTGCTCCATTGCTGCCCCCTTGCTGCGGACACTGCTACTGCTGCTGCAACGCCCTGTGATCCTGGTGTGTGTGCATCTATGTATGTGTGTGGCGGTCAGCATGTGTCTGAATGTGAATTCTGTGCCCAGAACTGATGTCTGCGACAATCAGGACGCAGCCAAACTCTACAAGTTGCAGAATGAGGGTTCAGCCAGCTAAGGTAAGAATAAAGTATGTGATATCAAAGAACAGTATTCATGTGCAAACTAATGGATCAGAAATTAATGAAGAAAATGTCAGAGCTATTCAGCACAGGTTTTTAAATCTTTAATATCAAATCTTGTACATTTTATGTCTGCAAACTACAGCTGCATTAATTTGGCCTATAGGACTTTTGCATGGATTTCACTGGTACCACTCAGTGGCATGTTCTTTAATTAATGGTATGTTTCTCTGCAAACCATAGGTTGGATGGCAAAATAGGCTCTTGGGAATTAATTAAAACTGTAAGCCTATAATTAAGCATGACTTAAAAATGTGAGCTAGAGCTATGCGGGAATGTTCTTCTGCCATATATAATTTCAGATTGCCAGCTCTTATAGAAATTAATGGTACCACCAGTAAATAGCTTAGTGTGGAACTATTGCTGTTTCATGAAGAATAACATTGCCTTTGTAGGATCCAGATGGATTTCTGACAGACACAAAAAATGAGTTAGGCTACTTTCAGATACTTTGTGAAAAAATAAAAACATCATAATGTCATTGATTATTTCTTAGTCGCAGTCCAGTTATACAAAAATATTTCATAGTGAACATTAAGACTGATCTGACTGATCACTTTCTTTCATGGTTCAAAAAGAAGAGCCATACCTTCAAAAGCAAAATCATCTTCATGCATGACGATGTACCATCTCATGCTGCCAACTGTGTCATTGGCTGCTATGGGCATAAAAAAGGGAGAAACTCATGGTTTGATGGTTTGGTCACCCTCCTCCTCTGACCTCAACTCTATTGAGAACCTTTAGAGTTTCCTCAAGCAGAAGATCTGAGGGTATCATATCAAAACAGCAGCTCTGTGAAGGTTTCCTGACATCCTGCAAAGAAATTCAAGCAGAAACTATCCACAAACTCACAAGTTCAATGGATGCAAGAATTTGTGCAGGTGATACCAAAGAAGGGGTCTTATGTTAACATGCAACTTGGTCTCTTAAGATGTTTTTGATTGAAATAGCTTTTGATTTTAGTACATGTGACAACTTAATGCTGAACATTCAAAGAATGATCGTTTGCAGTTCTTTATAATCCATAAAATGTTTAGAAAATTTGCTGTGCATCGTAACTTGGACCAGTGCATTTTGAGATTTTTATTTTTGAAAAAAATACTGTTCTCATGGAGAGCCTTGTTCAGTAAAATTTGATTTATACTGTAATAGTTCATACAATCATACTCACCATCATTTCCATTGACCATTTCAGAAAATCTAAGAAAATATCACTTGCATAATAATTTGGAACACGGCGTAGCTGAAGGTAACATAGTTATTATGTTGCGCTACAAAATGGCACTATGTGCCTGTAAAATATACAATACGCCTCCTTACCCCTTTAAATTAGTTGTGCTTACAAGCATGCATAAAAAATTGCGAATTAAGTGTCACTGCTTAATGATTATTTAGCAGCTGCAGTTAAATGTGACTCCAGACATAAGCAGCAGAGTCTCTACTGAGATTACATTACAACAGTTTCCAAATTAAAGGCATTAAACTATGAAATTTCTAGTCAAAGTTAAATTCTTTTAAATTTATTTAAAAACCTCCAAATCAATCCTATTAGGTCAGCATCTCTTTTTTCATCCTTGGTTTGGCACAACATGATGGATAAATCAATTTTTTCTGTGTTTAGTCCATTTCTTCTGATTCCTGCTAATGGTCTCATCCTGCTTTGTTCCAAGTAAAGATGCATCTAAGACTTGCAACATTTTGACCCTTCAGAATGAGAGTTTGACCCTCATGCCTCACATAGTTCACATTCACCGCTTTTGGGTGCTTACCTGACTGAAAATGATCCAACTCAAATGGAAAAGCTTGATTCGTGGTTCAGAATCAGGTTTAATACTTTTCCAGGAGGGACAGTGAAAAAGTACCATTTAGTCTCTCTAAAGGTTCTCTGTTCTGTTACAGCTCTGTGAACCTATCAATCAAAAACAGGATTATTTTCCCATATGCAGTGAGTTTTGCTGCAAAAGCTAAATTTGCCCGTAGACTTGTGCAGTTTACAAACATAACCGCCTTCCAGTTAAGATACCAGACAGAAACTGACACACTCCTTCTGGCAAAGTTAGCATGACTCACAGGCAGCTGTCTCCTATTTCTATCACAGGTTTCTCTTTGTGTGTTTCTCAAATGCATTTGACTGTCAATCTTACGCTCTACTTCTATGTGTGTGTGGTTGTCTTTCTGCAGGAAGGCGAATGTTTCTGAGGCCTCCACTGTAAATCTGCATGCAGATGATCAATGTTGTTCCAGATTCCTCTTATCTGCCCCAAACCCACCTGCTGTAAAAAGCCCTCTTTGTGTCAGTTTCCCATCCTCAGCCTGTTCTTCTCTGGTTCCTTCTTCTTCCTGTGTGTGGGTAACAGTTTGGCAAGCACTGCATCTCAAATACCTGCCAGCCTACACCTGCTGCTGCACCCGGTCACTATTACTTGAAATAGAACGGTCCCAAAATAGAGAGGTGGGGAGAGAGGGGCTGCAATGCAATCTGTTACCACCAGGGTGTGCTCATTGACATTAGGGGCAAACAATAAAAAATCTATTTTCAACCCCATAGTTATTGTTATCATTAGTAAACTATACACACGTTTCTAAGAATACAAAAGGTAAAATATGACATGAAACAGGTTGATCCTTATAGTCACTTTATCAATGTTTATTCTTTATATGGCATGTTTATTTTTGATGAAAGAACTCTTACGTTGAAATTTTTCAGAGTACAGGGATCTTTGTGTTGAAATCTGTTAATGGTTAAAAGAAAATCCCTGAAACTAAAAATATTCTCCAGTATTTCAGTGGACTTTACTCAACGTTTCTCAGTCAGAAGCTGACAATTTCCTCTGATTTAATTTGGGGAATTAAAAGCCTTCATGTTACGTTTGTTGTTAAAAAAGAAAAAAAGGGAGTCATTGATATATTTCCCCTCATTTTGAAAGGTAAAGTAATTGTTAGAATAAAAGTAATACAGTTTTTCCTTTCCCTTACTTCATCTTTTGAGAAAACATGTTATGAATAATGTAATAATTCTATTTTTACTTCAAACAGACCCCATAAACGATCTTCATATTCTTTTTATTCTAGAGCTCTAGTAGAGTTTACCTTTGAAACCTGGCAGCTGATCAGCTGTTGTCACTTTTTGATTATTGTGTCAAACCAACTGGTTTGATATAATAAGAATCATGGCCACGAGTTGAATTTTCCATTTTCCCCATCATTCATATCATTTACTATTTTAAAATACAATCTTTTGAAACTTAGACAATGTGATTGGTGATTCTGAATATTCAAGCCTTTTCATTAATTAGACTTTTTTCAAAATAATTATTTATTCAGATTATTTGCGTTTTGAAAATGTGTTGATGTGAGCTTCTGGCAAAAAAAAAAAAAAGAGAATAAAATTAAAGACAAGAAAATAATGTCGCTAAACCTCATATCCAGAGAAGGTTGAGCTCTTGACCAAGCACTTTCATTTATGTTTACCTCATTCTTTGAAACAACACTGTGACAGATTGACATCCATTAACAAGAACATATGAGTCCCTTTATGATGGATAAAAACACATAAGCCGTGTTTTAATTCTATCCTTAAAGTCTGTTTCTAGTTTCAGTATGCATCTGGTGCATCAAGGTTGATAAAACAATACCTGTAGTTGTTTGACAAAGATTCTTCATATTTGATCTTTTTACGGATAAATGTATTTTTACAACACTGTACGTAACACCACATAGCAGTGGCTTGCAAAAATATTTATAACCTTTGAACATCTTCACATTTTATCACCTTACAACCACAACTTTAATGTATTTTAATTTGATTTTGTTTGATAGACATTTTGTTTTAGAGGTTCACAGCCGAGTTCGGTTTTAAAGTTAGTTCAAAGTATCGAACGTCTCGAGGTCAGTGGATAAATACAGAAACATGCCACGTATTTCAAATAGTTATTACTAAATTATTTTGATTTGTAGTTGTGACTAAATGTGAACAAAATCAAGGATATGGATACTTTCTCTAAGGCACTGCAGAGACTTTTATATGTTAAATCTTGAAAACTTATCTTCCATTGCATCATCTTTCTTTTTTTTTAGAAAATGTAAAACTAGTAACAGACGATTAAATATTATTTTTTCAACTGGTTTACATTGTTTTCATATCTGCATTTTCTCATGAAGTGTCAGAGGAACCTAATACCCAAAAAAGACGACAGAGCAACAAATGTTCAAAAGAAATCTTATCGGATATTCTGTGGTTGACTTTTGTTGCCATCACACATCATAATTTGGGTTCACATCATTTGCTGCTGCAAATATGAACAGAAGTTAAAAACAACATACAGAAAGATTGTCTAAATATGTAGTTATTACATATTTACATGTCTATTATTCCCATCAAACTGCTGTTAAATTTTGAAATATAATTTCATCAGAGCATGGCAAAGTAAAATTTAAATGTAGCAACTATTTTTATACTGAAAGAATTCGTTAAAGATCTAGATTATTTATTATTTGCTCTATTTGAAATGTGACTTATTTGCTTCCTGATTCTTCTTCCTTTATACTGGTTGTTGAATGTGAAATATTTGTATTTTGTTGTGTAGATGTATTTTTCCATGCCTTTTGTTTAGTGTAACGATAAGAAGACTTTGTATTTTCACCAGTTATTGAATGCATGTATGGAAGTGTAATTGCATTATCATTTTATCAAGGTGATGACTGATCTTGCTCAACCACCTCAGGCGGAAACCAAAGGTGTTTATCTTGTAGGGGATCTTTAAAAGGGGACCTAACCTGCAACCTATTTAAGCTGAGTTGAACATATGACAGAGGGGTTACTGTAGGTTATCAGAAGATGACGGAGTCCTGTTTTAGTCACTGACAGATACATCTCATCTCGGCGACGTTTCTGACCTTTGAGAATGCAGATAAGTTATGAGAACTGTGGTGGGTGCAGTTAGAGATATCTGAGCAGATAAAGCAATGGACCCAAGGTCTCATAATGCACAAATAGACAACATCTACAAACTGTCCATCACGTCATGATTTCTCTGTTGATATCCTGATCAGACAGTCAGGATCACAGAGTCCAGGTGAACTGAACCATCATGTCTAAGCATGTGCGTGTTCTCTAATTAAAGCATTTTCTGAACTTTATTTGCTGTGATCTCCTAACTATAAATACACCAATAACCCCAAGCAAATATATAATTTCTTGCAAAAGCAGCCACACCAATTAAGCGCAAGTTTCTCTGACAATGCAAGGCCAAATTTGATGTATTTTTGGTAGAGCAGTATGAAATATTTTTACAATTATTTTTGTGGATTAATTGCTCTTTTTGAAAAAAAGAAAGTAGTTGCAAAAGTCTTAACATTAAAGTTACTAACAAACCATGTAGGAGACACAGCAAACTTGTGGAACTGTGTCACAGTAGCTCACCCTGACTACACCCCACCCTGTGTGAAACAAGGTGGCGGCAGCATCATAAATAGTGGCTTATCGACATAAAGAAGTGGTCAGAAGCGAAAGGAGCATTGAAGTAGGAAGGTTAATGAATGAATTAATTTTATTTATCTATCCACTACTCTCAACCATCTTTATTACCTATCATCTGTTACGTAGCATTTGTTCAGTTCAGGTCATGAACTTAAAGTGGAGTTTGTTTGAAAAACCAACAGAAACCGTTTGCTGAATCTGAACTGTTAACCTACTTTCAGACTGTGAAAACAGATCTTATGACAAACATTATAGATTCCTCTTACGCCGCCTGTGTTTACCTACCAACCAATCTGAAATAAATCTGGCAAGACAAACCTTGTGTGGCACTGTATTCTGAATGTGAACAATAAGAAATACAGATTTTTTTTTTATTTTTTAAAAAAGGGTGATACTGTTTGTTTGTATAGTTGTGTGTTGCTTTGTTTGTTTATGGCTTAGTGCATGGAGTACTTTCTTCTGTAGCTGCAAAGAATCATCTTTGTTATGGAAAGTCATTTCAATAAATATGATCCTGTGGACAAAAACTTTGTATCTCCTTGAATTACTTTAGGTGCATAAAATAAAAAATATATATTATTTTTGCTAAAAAATTGCTTTAAGAAATGATCTTGTAGAAGACAAAAAAAAAAAAAATCACCACAACTCATATCTCAGTTACGAATGCCAACATTACAGGTCAAAGTTCAGGATAGGATGTGTAATTCAAGGCGAGAGGTCACCGGAACCAACTGAGGAGTGTAGAGCCAGAGTCAAATGGAGCACATCATGAAAGATAAAAGAAAAAAAAAAGAAATTCAAATTAATCTCTGAAGCACAATTTGGAGACAAACACCTAACAGATTTTGATCTATAAATTTTAGACATTACCTAAAAATGCAACTTCCCTTAGCTATCTAGTTGACCTTCTCTATTTCCTCAATTAATTCTGTGCTGCTGAAATAGAGCACCATGCTATCTTAGGTACTTTACTTAAATTAAGACATTAAAACTGGGATTGGAGTTTACTGACTAAAATTATAGAATATAATTTCTATTAAATTCTGTTAGAAAATATGCTTACTGTTGTCGCAACTTTTGAAAGTAATAATGAAATATAAAGTTTTACCACTTGCTAGACAAATCTACTGGTAAAAAAGATGGCTGGCAAAAAAAAAAATCACAGTAGATAAAAAAGTTTTGTCCTTGTTGATGAACTGAAAGGAAACTGAACAATGTTACATAAAAACGTGAAAAACTCCAGAATAGCAACAGCATATTTCATTTTGTTTTGGTCTGATAATATCACTTAAAGTTAAATTACAGTTGAATAGCATTTTCCCAGAATAGAATGAAAAGCTGCATAAAAATAACATAGTACAGAATTGATGAAAGCCAATAACTCTACAATAACACTCTGCACATTGCCCTTCACTGATGCTAAGTGATGCAACTTGTGCTCTTCTGTTTTTGTGTAATATAATGTACATGTTTAATATGAGGACATGCTGCAAATTAATTTTCCATTTGCCGCAATCAAATTATAATTACCCACTGAATACAGTCATCTTATTGTTAAAATAACAATAGTTTAATGTTTATGTGATGGCTTAGAATAAACTTAAATGCTCTGCATGACTTCATGCATCCAACAGAGGAGCAGCAGTTGGGCAGCAGAGGACCTGGCCTTTACAGGGCTGGGTTCCAAAAGGCCAAAGTTCATAAAATCAGGAGCGAAGTAAAGAGAGCAGGAATCACAACAGCCGAGAGAGACATAATTTATTATTCGCCAGGAACATTGTCTCAGTGAGAATCATCGTTTGGAGCAGGGCGAGCTGTTCATCTTGCTGGCTGCTGGCTGAGCTCGGTGAGTAAGGAACTACCTGAAACTCTACAGTGTGACATCTGTTGGTCTGAGGATTTACTTCTGTATTGTATTAGTTAGAACCTGGTTTGCCGAAGAATCCTCACTCAGTTCAACGTCAGCATCACATCTGCAAACTATAGGCTGTAGAACTAATCACAATTTTAAAATAAAACAGTAAGAATTATTAAAGCTTTTCATTCTTCTAGGATAAATAGAACAATTACTATATTTAAAATATTTATTTTCAAAATAACAGATACATCAGCTTTGATGTGTTTGTTTCATATCATCACCAAATTAGTTTATTAAGCAATATTTAACTCAGTAAAACTGAGGGATTCATGCACAATTTTAAAGGTTACAGCCAAATTATATGAGGACATTCTGTATCATCAGTCCTCCTGTTTATCATTTTCTATATTTATGATTTATAGTATTGCACATATTGCTTGGCCCTAACTAGTGACAGTTAGTTCCTCCTAATATAATGGTCTTTGTACTCAGATACAAAGAGCAGAAGCTTTTCTGCAGAAGAGAGATTATAAATAATAAAAATGCACCCACGCAAGCTGTGAGATTTCCTCAAATATATGCTACAGTACATAACCCTCAAATAGATATGGCAGAATGTAAGCGATGGGTTCAAAGGTTTCTCTGTTTCCAACACTGCAGAATCAATCCAATAGTGTTGCCTGTAGTTAAGGTTTAATTTCTGAAATAATCTTTTCTGCATACATGCAAACATCAAAACTACCCAAAAATAGCACACATGCTACATAAATTAAGACCAGTAAATGATATTTTATTAGAAATGTCATACCTTGGCTTAAGCCAACTGCATCATCTCATAATAAATGATTCAGGGGAAATAGTTGTGAAAGAAAAAGGAGATCACACGATCCAAAATTAAAATCAGAGTCATTACATAAAGTAACTGCTTTTCTCTGTCACTTATGCTGAACCACCACATTATCTGCAGCATAATCTGAGCAAGTGTACAAAGATTATCTGCTAAATTGGCATTTCTCATGAGGAGTGATCAAACAGCACAGATTAGTAAATGAGGTCACTAAATGTCATTTACCTCAAATCTGTCTCTCTCTCCAGTGGGTCACATCCAGAGAATGTTAACCTTCTATAGTGACAGGGAGCTTTATCATTTGTTTACATTTCTCAGCTCGACCTATAGATAATCGGTCATGGGGTAACTATCGTTTAAAACTCCCAGAGTTTTTATTCTGACAGAAATGTTCCAGAAAAAATAGAAAATATAATGATGAATGTGGCAAGATTTTCATGGTTTCCAAATGGGTTACAATATCCAGATGTTTCACAAATTAGCAGCGATTTTACAGGACTGTAAATGATACAATTTATTCAGGTAGTGTCAGTTCATTATGACCAGAGATCCATTTTTGTTCTTTGCCGCTAGCTATATTGTTTTCTTTTCAGTTTTCATCATGACTTCTTCAGAAGCTTCCAATGGAGTTTGGCATCGGAAAACCAAGGCTCGTCAGCAAGAGTCCAAATCCAATCAAGGTATATACAAACTCTGACTTCTAGGAAGTGATTTGATGTTTTCAGCCTTTACTGGGGAATAATGAGTTTTGGATAGGCTGTTTTCAATAGCTGTTCAGTACCAGGTCAATGTTTTTCCAAATTGTAAAATTTCCAATTGCTGCAGAACAATATGTTACCTTCATCTGTTATCTCTTCCAGTTTTGTGAACAAGATGTGCTATGTATTGTAGGGCAAAGTAAACAATGTGAGCAGCATCTATTCCTCTCTTTGCAGCCAAGAATCATGAAACTGTGCAGGAAGATCTGGTTGAGTGGAACAAATACATGAAGGTAACCATATAACCAGTGTTGCTCATTTAAATCCAAAAATAACAGTGTTTCTAGACAACGGTATAATTTCATTCATGTGGCTTACAAAGGAGAAGCCATGGAAATGGTGACATCAATCATCTGAGTGGGAGATGCGTTCATGACATTGTATTTTACTGTGCTCTTTAAGCTTGTAAAAGTAAAACCCTTTCTTTTCTGTGCATAGAAAGTAAAAGGGAAAGTTATAGAGCAGGTCCAGGATAATCTCAGAGATATTATTGACAAAGCCCTGACTGAGTGTATCGAGCCTCCTGCCCACCTTAAATCTGCACCAAATGGGAAAACCACAACAAAAGAGTCATCCAAGTGAGACAGATATACATGTTGATTTGTAATACAAATACTCTGATTACTAAACAGTTGGAGGAACATGCATTTGATTAAGTCATGTCTGGTTTTTCTTAGATCTCAAAGGATGGATGATGGCAAAGTGTTTTTGGAGCGAGCATCTCTATTGGAGTGAGTAACAGCAGAGCAAAAATATAACTGTCACAAGCAGTTTAATATTTAGGACTAAACATGTTAATGTGTTGATTGTTTCCTCTGTAAAAAGTGAGAACCTAGTGTAGAAGTCTTGCAATTCGAACCTTAATCCCAGTTTATCTATTTCCAAGTTGCCGACCAATCCATGTAGTGGTATATGATTGTGTATACATGACTGATCACACCCTATTGAATAATAATTAAAAAAAATGTTTATGTAGTGCCAATTCACAGCAAATTTCATTTAGAGCAACTTTTCAAAAAAAAAAAAAATTCTATTCAATCCAATTAATCCAAGACAAAAAGTGTAATTGATTTATTGTATAGTTTAATACAATTTGTGTAGATGTGTCAGACTTAATTACTGATTTTGTCTGTGTTTTCTTCTTTTCCTAAGTGACCTGTTTGAGATCAGCCACATTAGGACCATCTACCACATGTTTATTGCTGTGCTCCTCATCTTCTGTTTGAGCACTTTGGCTGTTGACTACATTGACCAGGGCAGGTCTGTGGTAAAATTTTATTTATTTACTAGGAAGTGATAAGTTAATAGAGAAAATCACTGTCTTTCTCATCATGCTTCTGCAAGACTGTGGAGGTTTAATTGAAGCATAAAACATGTTTCTATATTTTCCTGCATTCAGCATGAGAAAGAGAAAACATTTGTTAAAAACCTCTTTTTTCGTAGTAGCCAAATTTTCAAGACTATACTACTTAATATAGTGTTTTAATTTCCACCAAACCATTTAATGAACTGTATTTGTTGTATTTACTGTAAAAAAGAAAAAGTCACTGTAGAATTTACAGTAACTTACTGGCAGCAGGTTTCCAGCCAGCTGCTTAAATTTTTATGTCAGAGAAATTACAGTAACTTTACAGAAACCTTACTGCAATTTTATTACAGTTATACTGTGATTTTATTGCAGGTTTACTGTAATTTTTATTTCTATATTACTGTAATTTGATTTAACTCTAATTTCTTTAAAATAACATAGAAAATATCTAAAATGGTTACTGTGATTTTATTACTTTTTTATCATAATAAAATTGCATTAGTCCTGTAGTAGAATTACAAAAGGTTGTCATTTTAAAGTAGTTCATGAAACTGCATATTTTGCTAGCTTTGAAATGTTTAAATGTAAACTTGAAACTTAATTTACCAAACTCTCAAAAGGTTTTATTTTTCTAGCTAAAAAAAATGTTCATTCATTTTATTGTCAATTTAATCTGACAAACTGAAGAAAAACAAAATGTAGTATTTTGCAGCATCAATATTTGCTTGTTACATAAAAGTCAAAGTATTGCAGCC